TGTTTCTTATGAGCTAGTCAATAATTGGATGGGGTGATGAATTGCATTAGATCAATGTGAACAAGAAGTGAGAGACGCAAAGCAATCTATGGATGCTTGCTTGCCTGGCCAGGCTAAGAGGTGGGCCCCAAAGAGCTACACATCCTGTCTGCCTGGCTGTGCTTTTCGAAGCTGAAGGTTTTTTTCTTGCCCTACCTGTGCTGTGCGCGCCTCAGGAATCCCTCCTCCTGCCTGCCTATACTGCCTGAACTGCTCAGCCCCGGCTGCACTCTTTTTCAAGCTGTCTGACCCCCCCCAAACCCAACAAGTCTCCCCGAAACAAAATGGGGCATCTCCCCAAACAGGTTTTAATACTTAGGGTCTACATGGCTTTTGGTTATACTGGGGCCTGTGCCGCAAACACGCTCACGCCAAGAAACAACTCCCCAAGCAAGTTTTATTAGAGTCCGTGCCCAACCCCAAACGATCCAAGAATTGCACAACGGGCATATCCCTTGTAGAGTTCTTACTTAAAAGTTGAAATCCGAGCGTTCATTTCCCTGCAGATCAAAGGAGATCCACTTGCCAATACAAGCCAATACTAAACAGCAAACAATGAACTATATCTAAATCTAAAACCGGCGAGCGCCAATAACACAACTCCCTCCGAGTTGTTATTTTTTAGAGAGGGGGGGGGGGCGGTCGTTTTGTTTTTTAGGGGGAAGGGATGTATTGTTTTTTTTTTTTTTTTGCGGGGGCTGCAAAACATCCCGACTTGAGATGTGGACCCTCCAACAAGAAAGCTTGACCTTTTTGTTTGCGATGATTGGCCACCAGCTATGGAAACAGAAGTCATCCCATCACGTCGTTTGGTTTAATCGTAGCCCACGAGTGCAGTCTAACTTTTTCCATGCCCGAGGCATGGCCCCAATTCCGACGCATGTATTGTTTGCTCTTCGAGCTTTTGGCTTCTTGGGCCGCTGCATTTCCGAAAATTGGCATGCGAGATCGTTGCAAAAAGACCAAAGATGGGCGCACAACTCGTGTGCCGAAACTGAAGAACAGACCTGCTGCAGTCCTTCCTGGGATGCTTCACGCATTGGCGCTGCTGCCTACATTTGACAATTTATCAGGCGTGTCTTGAAAACGGCCTGGCTGGCCCGGGCTGAACACGGCTGGGGCGACAAGAAGTGGGCTCGCTATTCTTGGGAGACTTGTCTCCACGAGGGGAAAGCCCGGTGGTGGCATGGCACGGCGCAAAGCTTCCTGGACACTCTGCTTCGCAGGAACAGCCAGAGGCCGGCATCACGGATGCGGGGGAGGACGCGCTGGTCTTCACAGAGAAACCCATGCAATTGCTGGTTCCAAGGTCGCTTTTGGCATCCCGGGCGCAGCGGCTTTCGCGCTTTCAATTGGCCTTCCGTTTTTGTTTTTTTTTGTTAAAAAAATGGTAGTTTGAGGGTTCGGGATGTTCGGGTTCTTTTTTTTTCTGGAATGAGTGGGTTCGCCTTTGAATGAACCTCAATGCCTAATCCTCGCAAACTACTTGGGTGTGCTTGGTTTAGCCTTGGTTTGGAGGATAATTGCCGTCTTTTCCCTCGAAAGCGCAGGGGTTTCCCTGTCGGTCTCCCTTAGGGTCTACTCCAAAGAAAGGTAGCATCAAAACAACAGGCGCCCATATGGAAGATGTTTCTGCCGGGGTACACCGAGCTTGATTTCCCCAAGTCGACCTAAAACTCAGGGGTGGTTGATGTGCCCAACAGGGGAGCTGGGATTCAGATACATCCTTACCTCTTAAAAACACAACTTTTCAACTTTTTGGGTAACATGGGCTATATGTCTGTAAAAGATTAACTTCCCCCGGGCTTGGAGTTTTAAGTGGTAAGCATCAGGTGGTGAGGTGACTCTTAGTTGGTGACGTTTGGATCGGTGGTTAAAGTTTGAGGGGTTTGACCAGCTGAGTCATTGAACCCCCAGAACACCTTCAAACGACCCATCCAAACCACGAATGAGATGGGAACCCCAGACACCGGCTGGGTCGCTTCCTTTTTTGTTTTTTTGGCTGGGTTTCAGCTTTCCCTTAAATCCGAACCCTCAAACTACTCTCGAATATGGGCTATCGCCCCAAAAAGTCATGGGATGTTTTCCCGGTTTCAAGGGGCAGTTTGGGGTTTTCCCGGTTTCAAGGGCCAAATTGGGGGTCCAGGCAGAAAAAACCGAAGGCCGCAGCCGCGGTTTCGTGGGTGTCCCCTCGCTCCACTTTCCCGACCACAGGCTCCAAGCCCCGTGACTCGCTCCGATGTGACTTCGCCCCGTGCCAAGCGCTAGCGGCCTGAGCCTGAAGCGAGCTCCGTCCCGTTGGCCAGCCAAGACATTTGGTCCCCCAGCACGGGTCACAAAGACCCAAAGCAAACCAAACCAGGGGCCAACAAACCAAACCAGCTGCAAGTAGGGTGAAACCCATTTGGTCCCCCAGCTAGGTGCCAACTGTGTTACCGTTTCTTTTTTGGTTGGGAGGGTTCGGGACCCTACTAAAATAGACTACAGAAAAAGTTGGTACCCTTACTACTGGTGGACCTAGAAGACTTTTTTTTTGGGGGGGGGGGGGCTTGTTTTGTTATTTTTTTTTTTAGTTGGTGCCCCCTTTTGTGTGGTTTTGGAAAGGAAGGCCAAAACGAAAACCACATTTTAGCAAAAAAAAAAGAAAGAAAGATCGCCTTCTTGAGTGTTTTAGTTTAGTTTGCAGGCAAACCCAAAAGGCCAGTGTTTCTGTGGTGTGGGTGTGTGTGCGCGAGTGCGTGTGTTCGTGTCTTTTTGAGCCTTTGAAGTTCAAAGATGTGTTATTCTGAACAGCCCAAGGTCCCGTCGCTTGTTTTCAATTTGAACATGTCTCGATATTTTCTTTCGAACGTCCAAAAGGGAAACCAGCACGGCCAAAGAAGAGGCTCGTGTTGTTCAGGACTTGTCTTCCATTCGGGCTTTCCAATACTGGCTTCCATTTCTGTTTGTTGGCTGTACTGAGGATCCATCACTGCTATGTTTGTCCATATTCATCCTTTCTCCAGAGGGCGTGTTGGCGTGTTCACAAATGGAGGTTGTGATTTTCGATTTCGAGTGGGACTCCTGTCAGGCGAGGGAGGAACACATCAATTTTGACCAAGTGACAAAACTCGACGGGTTCAAGGGAGCAAATGTACATGGATCCAGGGTTTGGCTGTGTAGCTTGTACAGAAATATTCAAAGGCCCCTAGCTCGAGATCAAGGACCCATCAAGGAGTGATGAGGAGTGCCATCCGTTGCAGGAATTGGAATGGTTCTCCAGGCCAACTTGTACCTCTCAAAAACTTGCGGCTCCCAGCCATCTTCGTAGCTTTTTATCTTTTTAGTGTTTACTGGTAGTGTCCATTCAACCCACTAAAAGTTAAACTTTTAGCGGGGGATCTGAGGGGGGCCAGAAAAGGAGTACAAGGACGCAGGCGGCGCTTCAGCCTCTTCCACCGGATCGCTCTCCATCTGAAAAGGTCGGCTCGCGGTCGGATTGCGCCTGTTGGGAAGGCACGAAGGCACGGGTCTAGGCACGGGGATCACGGCTGCCCGGGCAGATTGGAAGGGATCCACGGCTAGCCCAGCGGGATCCCAGGAATCCGGTTCGCCCATATTCCTTTTGGGTTTCAACGGGTGGTTTCCGCCCTTGGTTGCCCACAACTTGAGCGGCGTTCCCTTGAAGTGTAATTCAACAGCCGACTGGGTTTACGGGAAGCCAGCTGCGTATGTTTGAGGTTTGTTCATCCAATTTCCGAGCTGGGAATCTGAGGCGAAGCTTGCGACTTCAAAATGGATCGCGCCAGAAGTTGCCGGTTCATTGCCTTTACTTGGTGGCTCCCAGCCATCCCCTTTTAGCTTTTTAGTGTTTAGTGGTAGTTTCCATTTAACCCACTAAAAGTTAGTCACTTTTAGCGGGGGATCTGAAAACGGGCAGCCCAGTTTAGAGGCCGTGTTTCTTTCCCTTGCCCCAAATCCCCCCGAAGAAGTGCCTTCTTTCCCAGCGGTAGTGATCTGGGTATGTCGCACCTCTGTGTCTCATCTCAATTCCAAGAACACCAAGCGCAGCAATGTCGAGGATTTGGAAGAGCCCACAGCGGGCTGGTCTTTTGCATACATGTTGTATTCAATGTTGTTGAGAGTACGAAGGCCTTCTGTGCAATGACTCTGCGGGTGTGTCGGAATCGGTACAGTTAGCGCGTACTGCCAGCACCTCCCAGGGTTACTTTACTTTACTTTACTTGCTGGTTGTCACTAGGGAATCACTTGTTCTGCGAAGCCTAATCTCTTGAAAGGAAACCAGTCGGATGGTTCAGTTTGGGGGTCGAACCAATTGCAAGTTTCGCGGGTTCCAGCAGTCCTGCGCGCGTCAGGCTCAGATCCAAGCATTCACTCGCCGCATGCACCAACCATGTGGGACTTTCAGCGCACAGTGCACGGTGTATGGAGCATTCTGGAACCAACTGCAAATTCTGAAGCCGCGCAAAGTCATCGGTGGTTTCGCGACCGAAGAGTTCCACCCATTGATGAAGCAAGGAGTGCAGTGATTTTAACACAAGCTTCTTGACACATTCTGCAGACATCCTAGAAGCATGAACAATGAGCATAGGGCGCTCAAAAGATATGGCCCTGTGGTTCCTGCATAGAACCCCATGCTTTCTGAGCCAAAAATCGTGGACAACTCGTGAGTGTCGGCCGCAGTGAGGCTTACGACTTGGCTGCCCCATTGGTTACGCATCAAAATAGATGGACCTTCCGAACAACTGGGGCGGGCGTTTGTCCAATCGGTGTCCCTTGAAGCAACCTGAAAAGGGGTCCCTGAAAAACAGACCTGTAAACTGCTCTGTGCGTGGCCGAACTATGGATCGCTATGGGACCCCAAGTGTGAATGACAAGCCAGGGTCCAATCGAGGTGTCACAGAAAATAAAGTTTCATCCAAACACACCCACACCCACACACTCACACAAACATAAGGGGTTCGCACACACCAGCAGCAGTCCATGCCAGACTGCCCGCGCAATGTGCCATGACCTCCTTGTATCCCCAGGCATCGTTGCCGGGCGTCCCGGCTTCCCAGACAAAGAAACGCACGCCATGCTGCGAGCTTCTTCGCGGAGTCCTCCTCAGCTGAGAGCTGGACCTCAAAAACAACGTGTAAAATGGGATGCCAACAAAAGAAAGCCAAGACACTGAGTGTCTTCGTTATTGCTGGGATCATTGTTTTGATTGTTTCTAGGGGTTGTCAAGTCAGAAAATGGGCTTGTTTCCCTTTAACCCATCACTTCGGGGGTGACTTTGATGTAAAATCATGAGGCCAGTATTGCTGCCTGTGGCAGATCTGCAGCCCATGTTGAGCTTTTTTAGCGCGAGCGGCCGGCAATTGATAAGCTGTGGGGGCCAAGCTAGTAATGTTGACCCCGGATTTGTAAACCCCTTGTTGATTAATAAGGGGGTGTTTCCTCCAAAGTGATGAATCCCCACTAAAAGGGGACACCCCCCCTATTAATCAACCAGGGGGTTATTACCCGTTTATCAATCCGGTTAACATTATACAGCAGTCAGATTTGTTCAAGTCGGTTTGGGAAGGAACGTGGAACCTTGTTTGCTTTCTGTTGGATCCATGATTGGGAATGAACACTTGGCGGAAGGGCGATTCGACTACCAAGTCAACCACCGTCATGCCTTTTGAGCAATGAGCAAGGATGCCAGCATTGCATGTTCTGGTTTCTGACAGCATTCGCAACAAACACAGGGGCGCTTTGGTGACCCAAGTGTGAAAGGGACGGCATTCCCAAAAAGCTCACTATTTTGTGACAAGGCTTCAAGTGGACGAAGCCCCCAAACGGCTTCAAGTCCTTTTTGGTTTCACTTCCTGTACAGGTCTCAAAATGGGCACCGAAAGACGCCCCCATGTGCCGAGTGATTTTGTTTGGTCGCCGCTCGGGAGACGAACAGAGAAACAAAACAAACAAATCACAAACAAGCAAACAAACAAACAAACAAGGAAACAATCAAAACACGGCAAAACAAAACAAAACAGCGCAAAACAACAACACACAACAAACCCAAACCAAACACAAAAAGACCAAGGAACGCAACACAACACGCAGCAAAAAGGCCAAATAAGACAAAGCAACACAAAACAAAACAAAACAAGACAAAGCAACACACAACAAAACAAAACAAGAGAAAGCAACACAAAACACAACAAATCAACACACATCAAACACAACACACCCAAACAGATAAACACGCAAACAAACAAACAAACAAACAAACAAACAAACAAACAAACACAAACAAACAAGCAAACAAACAATCAAACACAAACACACACAAACACAAACACAAACACAAACACAAGCACACGCACAAGCACACGCACAAGCACAAGCACAAACACAAACACAAACACAAAAAACACACAAACACAAACACAAGCACAAACACAAAAAACACACATACAAACACAAAAAACACACATACACACACAACAACACAAACAAACACAAACAAACACAAATCAATCAATCAATCATCAATCAATCAATCAATCAATCAATCAATCAATCAATCAATCAATCAATCAATCAATCAATCAATCAATCAATCAATCAATCAATCAATCAATCAAACAAACAAACACACAAACAAACAAACAAACAAACAAACAAACAAACAAACAAACAAACAAACAAACAAGCAACAACACAAACAAACAATCAAACAAACAAACAAACAAACAGACAAGCAAACAAGCAAGCAAGCAAACAAACAAACAAGCAAACAAGCAAACAAGCAAACAAGCAAGCACGCAAGCAAGCAAAACAAACTAAAACAAACCAAACCAAAACCAAGCCAAACCAAGCCAAGCCAAGCCAAACCAACACACAAACAAGCTAACACACAAACAAACAAACAAACAAACAAACAAGCAAGCAAACAAGCAAACAAGCAAACACACAAAATACACACACACAACTAACTTCCGACTTCCTGGACGTTATACGTTTTGGGACGACCATGTTTGGTGGTAAACAGCAACACATGTTTTGTTGCCAAGCCACTCAAAGAAAGGAACCAAACTAACAAAGAAGCAAGCCAGCAGACAGACACCTGGAGTCTCCATGACCCTTTAAAAATGAGGTAATTACTCAAATAATGGGGTCATGAACCCATGTTTAAAGGGTCAGAAGGAGACTCCAGGCAGACAGACAGGCTTCGGCCTCCGCCAGCGTCACTCGACTCGCCGTCCGAGGACCCCTCTGCTGCCAGGGCCGCAGGCGGTAGGTACCCAGAAGGCGCAGGAGCAAGGCGCGGAGACGCGGGAGGAGGGCTTTGGCCGGGCCGCCATAGGCCATGATGTGCCTTTTCCACTGCTGGAATAAATAATTTAGGCAGCCCCCACGGGAGTGTAGAAACCCTGTTCAAAAGAGACGGTTCATTTCAGTGGAAAAGGCAAGCCCTAGATCCATAGGGGGAAGCATGGGGATCTGGTTGATTCATGGGGAGGTGAAGGCTCAAATTCGACCCCTTAAGCAGAAGCCCTGGTTGATTTTGAGGGGGGGGAAGAACCCCCTTTGGTGGCTGAACTGGAAGGAACACAGTTTCTAATTGTAGGAGGGATGAATTCATGCAGGGTCAACATCACCCTCCCCCCTATCCATTGGGAGAAACATAGGGACATCATGCGGAAAACATTGGGAGAAAGCCTGGGGAAGCATTGAGGACGTCATGGAAGGACCCTTTTTGATGAATCAACCCCTGGTCGATTTTGCTTGGGTGTCCCTTGCGTCCTTTGGCTTTGTTCCGGTTCCTGTTCCCTTTACATTGGCATTTGGAGTGGTCCATACCCAATGTTCCTTGGTATTTGCTCCACATGCCAGTGGCTTTCAGCCCCTTTTCAAACAACAAGTTTGGACTTTGTTGGCCAGTCCACTCAGGAAGTGAGTAGAAAAGGGGCATAACTGGCTTACAAGCTTACTTATATTGGTATGTAAGCATTACACCCAAAACCCACACCTAACTACCCCTCAAGCCAACCGGCAGACTCGCGGGTTCCTTGCGCTCAGTGCTCCTGCGCCCGCCTGCCATGGACAGCTTGAGAGGTATGCCTTTGTGGGAAGTCAATGGCCAGGAATTTTCGTGGGGAGCCCTCAAAGAAGTGGTTGGTGGACTCTCATTCTCACCGAAATTCAGGGACGTCCACCAAAGGGTCCTTTTGGGCCCATCGCACTCAACAGAAAGCCCGGCATTTGGGGCTCAGGACACCGGCCATGCTGTCATAGGGCAGCGAGCGGGCTTAACCCAAGGGCGTTCTGCTATGCGCGTCATAAAGGTTATAGCAAGGACAGTATCTCCTACCTAAACCTAAACAACCATCTTGTAGAACCAACTGAAGCACCATAAAACCAATCACCAGTTTACACCCATGCTAGAACCAAAGTCACCACTCAGACATGCTATTCGACTTCAAAGTCACCACTCAGACATGCTATGCGACTTCTGCCCAGACAATCCCAGGGGCTTTCACGCGCAAAAACCGGTTGTCCTCTCCGCAGAATGCGCTCGGCGCCGGGTGCTGCTCTCCTGTCACGTGCAAGACCTTCTGAGCGCCAGCACGGAGACTGGGCCGGGAGCCCCAGGCGGAATTTGGCCCCAAGGAAAGGTGGAATGTAACCGGGGGGGGGGGGGATGGGGATTACTTTTTCTGAGTTCCTGGACATTCTCGGAACTTTTTTCGGAAGGGCGTTTGAGTGATCGACAAGAAGCTTGGACGCTTTTTGTTGTTTTTTTCCGGCCAATCCACTCGGGAAGTGAGTGAGGCTTTTTTCCCTGCGATAGTGGGGGCCAAGCCAAAACTATTCTGTACTGTTTGGCGAAGGAATTGAATCGAATCTCAATATGATGTTGGATACGTTGGATAAGTTGAACAGAGCGCAGAATGTGGAAGTATTTCTTTGGATACTTCAGATGTGGGCCAAGATAATTGAAGGGTGTTGTGTTGAAGGAGCGGTTGATTGGGGTAAGCTTGTTTGTTGTGGTGCGGAGAAGCCCAAGACATCAACACCTGGGAATTTCTGAACAAAACCCGGGACTGTCTTGCGATGAATGCAGGAGATGCTCAAGCCTTAAGAGGATTCGAAGGGACCTATTTCTCGGCACTGGAGTATTCCACGTTTCCCTTTCCCAGATCTATTTTTGAGGCGTGAAGGGGCGGGACAGCCTAGCGCCAATATCGAAGGGTCACCTAGGAGCTGGATCTGGGGCTGGTCCAAGGCCCACGGCTCGGGCTTTGGTCATTGAGAAGGGGCCCGCCGGGAGCCCAACTTCTGAGACGGGAAGCGCTTGGAGCCTCTGCTTGAGTTGGTTCCCAGCCATCCGATTCCTTAGCTTTTTCGAATCTGTTTAGCGTAGCGGTTGGAGTTCCTAACCCACTAAAGTCAAACCTTTTAGTGGGGGATCTGAGGACAGCCCAGTTGATGGCTATTTGGTGTTAGTCTCAACATTTGGGTGGTTTTTAATGGTCATCCCATGTTTATCGGACTGCCAAATGGAAAGCGCACCCTCACAAGAGCACCCGCCCAAGAGCACCCGCCCAAGAGTACCCGCTCAGCGCTGCACACGTGTTTGCCAAATGGTAAGCACACCCGCTCAAGAACATCCGCTCACCACTGTCAGCACTGCACACATTCCCCGACTATCCGAGTATCCGATTGTCATGTACCCTCAGTTTCCCAGCAGTAGTTTGCGAATACCACGTTTTAGTTTCCGAGCACTAGTTTCCGAACCCAACGTTTCGAGTTTCCGAATACTGGCTGGTAGTTTGTGAAGACCAGTTTCCAAATACTAGTTTCCGAATACCACGTTTCCTAGTTTCTGAAGACGAGTTTTCGAATACTAGTTTCCGAATACAACGTTTTAGTTTCCGAATCCCAGTTTCCGAATACTAGAAATAAAGGAGTCGTGGAGGTGGCGGTGGTAGTTGTGGCGGTGGTCGGGTGGTGGTCGTGGTCGTGGTAGTGGTAGTAGCAGTAGTGGTGGTAGTAGCGCCTGCGAAATTTTCGGCGAGCCGCATTTGCATACCCAACCTATAGACCAATGAGGGAATCTCACCCTCAAAACCTAGGACCTGCAGCAGTCTGAAGCAGTGGTCCCACTTTTAGTAGAGCCTCCCCCAGCGATATATAAAGCCGAGCCAGTAAGAACTGCAGCAATACTTCCAGGCGCAGAGACCACCTCTGGTGCCCCTTTTTTTGCAAGTCCACTTCCCAACGAACCCCGAAGGACCTTCAAGAGCTTTAAAGAAGGTCCACGCTTCTCTGAAGCCTGAATTGCGGCTGGCTATGTCTGACTTCTTCCTTCATCTGGTGTTCCTGGGGGCCGCAGGGAGGCCAGTCCAAAGCTCGAGGCTTCCAACTTCACGGGGCGTGGCGTTGTTTCAGGCGGTTCCTGAGCCTTTGGCACCTGGGCTGCTGGACGAGCAGCAGCTGCAGCGGAGCCACCCTGGCGCGTTTGGGAGTTTGGGCTTGCACGTTTGGAAAGCCAGCCCCTGACGTGGATCCGACGCGCCAAAGGTGATCACTTGTTGCTGGTGAACAGGGGAAGATGAAGGAGGCCTTTGGGCAAAAGTGGCAAACAAGTCAGTTGAGTCTGGCAATGACAAGCGAGCTTGTGCATACACTCCTGTTCGTCGGGCATGCATTCAAAACCCGGCAAGTGAAGGTTAGTAAAGCAGCACAGTCCCAAGAGAATAGACGTCGCGACCCTGTTGATTGTGTAACACATTGCGTACAGTATTTGGGTAGCCCTCGAGAATGCCTCTACCCCACAATATCCCATAACGCATTGACCACTTCGGCCCCTGGTTGAATTTCATGCCCCTCTCCGTCCACCCTTCACATCTGGATGAACCATTTCTGTTGGGTTCCCTTGCGCCACGGTGCAGGCCGTCTGCCGGAGCGAGCGACCCGGGCAAGGTTCTTGGAGCGGAGCGGGAGGCAAAAAAAGCACTTAGGGTGTTATGTGGGTGTCTTCTTTTGGAGAGAAACAAAACAATCTTGGGGTAAAAAACACAAAACATTCCCCTGTTCATGGTTTTGGAAACATCACCTTTTGGGACTACCTGAAGTGAGTCTTCGTTTGGTGGGGTGATGTTTAGGGAAACCTTATGACACTCCCAAGGACTAGGCTTTTCGAGCGCTCAAGGCTTGCAATCTAGCCAGAGGAAAGTTGCCCACCAGATTTTCGGTCCGGTCAGGGTCTCCAATTTTGGGTTGAGAGGCCCCCCCCAACAATTAGAACATAGAATCTTATAGTTGCGTGGGTTCGTGCCAGCCGAGTATGTTTGAAGTCGGAAGAAACCAAAGTTTTTTGGCTAAAGACTCATGAGGGGTACCGCGTGGGTGCAACTGGAGCACTGACTCCGTTCATTTGTGACTTATGTTTGCTTCCTGGTCAGTTCCAGAAGGCAGCAAAGGGTAACATGGACTCTGTCACAGCATGGACATGCACGAGTTACAAACAGCGCTCGGCTCAAGGATGGGAAAGTGCAGATCGATCTCACCCACGGTTCCTTTTCCCGGTGCATCCTTTGTTTCGGGTGTGGTCACCCAAAGCCGGGTGTCTTATTTGCGGGCGCCTTTTTTTGGAGTTGTTTTCACGGGAAGCCAAGGGGAAGCCAATGCACTATTCTGCTGGCCTTTTTGCAATCAATGTTGTTCAAATTTCACTTCATCTTCTTTGATTTCAGTCAGCACTTCCCTTCCAAGCAGAATTCCAATTAGAAGTTAATGAGAACCTTGAATTTAGTTGTTAGTTTAGATGTGTAATGGGTTCTTTTCCAAATTGCTTTCAAGTAGACTATAGTTCTATATTTGTTTTATTATTTGTAAGTGTATTGTAAACATGAAATCCTTCCAAATCTAAATGGGAATGTCTTTCCAAATATGTATTTTTGACATTGTGTATAACTAGGATTTAGCAAGGACAGACAAGCTGGTAGCCGCTTCTAACAGATTCATTATTGTTTTGAATCAGAATTCAGACGGGATTTCCTTTCCAAGTATCTATAGGATTTTAATTAGATTTTAGCTTCCTGGAGTCTCCATGACTCTTTATAAATTGGTCCATGACCCCATTATTTTGGGTAGCGCACCCATTTTTGATTCGGGTCAGAAGAAGACTCCAGGTACAATCTAGACAGACTAGTAAGGGGAAGAAAACCTGGCAGGTTCATTTGAGTAGAACTCGGTTGCGGTTAGGTGAAATGCCCAGGCCGCGACGGCCATGTTCTCCTTGCGGATATGTGCTTCTTGCTGACCCCAACCTCAAAAACAAATCCTCGGAGGAGACCAACAAAACACAGAGAGTTTCCGACCCTATGTATCCATGCTGGCTGGGTTAGGGTCTATCTCTCAGTTTTTCTTTGTATTTTTGCTTTTCTCTTCTTTGTTTTTTGAAAGTACCCAGGAAACATAGGTAAGCAACCACTAAAATCCCTGTGTCTCATAAAAATCACGAGGCGCCCTTCCGATTGTTCTAAGGGTCATGGGGAGACTCGAGGGAGACTCGCGGCCCATTTCTCAGGACCCCGCCGAGCGCAAGGCCAGCTTGAGGCGAGACGGCGCCGCGCGTCTTCTTTTCTTTTCTTTTCGCTGCAACAAAAAGCGCTCGGGAGAGGAAGCGCGCGTGTTTTTTTTTGGTTTTTTTTCCCATTTCGGGGACGGTGGACGTGTTTTTTTTCTCATTTCGGGGACGGTGGACATAGATCCAAAGAAGTTTCTGATGGCCACCATTTTGGGCCGCCAAGGTAAATTCTGACCCAGATTCTGAGTCTGGTATAAAACGCTGCTTGTAAGGTTGCCTGCTGAAATACAGACTTTGGATACATGCCTGTATGTCACTGGTACGTCACCTGGGCATGTTTATGCAGACTTGGAAAGGCCTACCTGCACCCTCAAAATACCCAACCAGGAGATTGCTCAACATCATGGGTTGATTTTTAGGGTTTGAGGGTCCAAGTAGCTCTATTCACATGGGATCCCACCTCAAGGCGATGGCTCACGCGGGCGACCAGGCTGGTTTTGGTCAGGTGCTCCACCTGGTGTTGGGATCATAGTAAGGCCATGGGCCAAGATGGATGTCGTTCTGCTTTTTGCTGCTTGTGATGTCCGTTGGGCAAAAAGGGCCTCAGAACAGATACCCTTCGCCTCACAAAAAAACAACGAGGCCTTCTCAACCGCATCTTCAATCAGGTTAATAGCATACAATAGTCGCTGTGAGTTTCCTGGGTTTCTCGTCTCTTGTTCCACACCCTTCATGGCAATAGACACCATTTGCCGTGTCCAAGTGCCATCTGTGACCCATTCCCCTAAGCCATTTCCAAGCTTGAACCCGGTATCTTTTTTACATATGTGTGTGTGTATATGTGTGTGTATATATATATATATACATGCTTTGTATTATGCCATACATGGACTCCGTGGACTTCACCGTTCTTGGCAATTTCCGCTTTTTGTGTCCTGTTCATTTGGAGGGGGCCGCAAAAACCAACGTTCTGTGCTGCAAAAACCAACGTTCTGTGCTGAGATGGGTGAGTGGGAATGGAGAAAGAGAACCCATTCTCTCACCCATCCCTTCCTCTCACTCACTTCTTCGTTCGGGACATGTCTCGCCAGTTCATATTGGATGAGGCGAGACTTATTTTGGATGAGGCGAGACTTATCATATGTTTCCCTTCCCTGTTTCGTCTCATTGGAGTTAGCGATAAAGGGATTCTCCTGTCTGTTAATGCTAGGGACTAACCACCTGCTAACCACCCACTAAGCACCGAGCAACCACTAACCACCTGCTAACCAAGCAGCAACCACTAACCACCCACTAACCATGAACCCACGAACCACCGAGCAACCAGGTTAACCACCCGCTGGCTTGGGTTCTTCTCTCCCGGCCAATCGGTTCGCGCCAGGAGGGTGGTGCCGCACACCTGGGACCCTTGGCCGTGCAGGGCTCAGAGTTCCGTTGGATGCGCGGGGAGCGCCAGCGGCTTCCGCGACTTCCATTTGCTCCCTGAAAGGCCACGGCTTCGCCTTTGGTGGTTTGGATTGGGCGTTTGGGGAATTGAACCATTTGAACCTCTGGTTCTTTTGTTGGGGTAAATGGGGGTTTCCCACCCAAAACCAAACCTGGCCCCAAGCCAGCAGTTGCCAAGCTGACGGCCTGCGAGGGAAACCAAGGCTTCGCTGTGTGTTACCCAGAGGCTCCAAATCGATGTATTTAGGGCCCTCAAACAGCCAGGTTTTGAGAGGTCCCAAACACCTCTGGGGTGTCTAATGGAGGGGTTGGGTCTTCCATTGAAAGCCCCAGGAGCCTCTGGGCAAGAACATGTGTTTTTGGTTTTTCACTGTTGGTTAAAAAGGGAATCTATCACTGCTGGGGGTCTGAACCAAATGGAAGGGGAAGATGGGCGCCTCGTTCTTGAGCTGCTTTGAAGCAAAACCAACAGGAAAAGGGTCCCCATGAAAAGGACATGCGGACCCTGAAAGTAGGGGTTCGGAGTTTTCGGTTTGGGCTGTTTGGTTGCTAAAAAAAAAGAAAGACATGGTGAAAAGGGTACTGACCAACATGAAGAATCAAACACACACACACACACACACACACAGACCATAACCAGATCCGGGAACTCCACATGAGAATTTCCGCTTCCGTGCATGGCATATTTGCCCTTTACTTACTTGTGATGGGTGAAGTGTTGCGCATCATCTACGAGTGCGCGTAACCATAGGGTGGCTTTACCTGCTTTTGGGTTCGGGTTCGAATGGGATGCGCCCTTTCTCTCAGCGAATCGAATTCTTTGGACCTAGTGGGGTCAATCCCTTGGCTCGTTGAGGTCTTTTGGGTTCAGTCGCTGATCTTTGTAACTCGAAGGTTTTGGGAGGTCAACTTTGGGACCTGTCATTCAATCGTTTCTTTTTAAGTTCCCTTAGGAAATCGGGCGTACCTTTCATGGTCTCGTTCTTCAGCGCACCCTTTTTGAGGTTCTAAACCAACCAAGCTTTTGGTAACCTCCCAAAAGCCGCATCCACCACCCCGAACTTCCACTGCTTTTCCTATGTCTAAAATTCCAGGTACTGTCCAAAAAGCAGAGAAGCTGGGGTGGCTCTCAGGTGGCTGTGGGTCAAAACCAATGTGCACCACCCATTTTAGAACCGATTTCAGTGGGGATTGGCCCTGGAGGTGTTTGGGCGTCCCTGGCTGTTTGAGGGCCCTAAATACATCGATTTGGAGCCTCTAGGAAAAGCAAAAAGCCCTCGAGCCCAACTTTGGGCAAGGACTCCGGAGCCCTCCTTGGCGCAGCAGCCGCTGCTGATGCTTGGGGACCACCAGGTGACTCGAGCCGAGTCGAGCCCGTGCCGAGAACCTTTGGGTGGCTCGGCGGACTCGCCTTTTTTTTTGAGGAGACCCAGAATTGGAGTGGAAGCCCAAAGGGAAACCAGAAAAAGGAACCAACCAGTTTTGGGGGTTCCCCATTTTGAGACAACCCGTTTTGGCGACTTGTTCACTCCTAGCCGCTATGTGCCGAGTTGTTCAACATGGGCAGGAGATGGCTATGAATGCCCACCTGCCCAACAAGACCCTCTTTTTCGCCTTTCAAAAGGGGATCCCAGACGCCCCCAATTTGGGATCCCAACGAGGGCCCTTTTTGACCCCCCCCCCCCCTGGGCGAGTTGGAACAAGCTCACCGATTCCTGAGTTTTAGGGTGGGTTATAACTTGCCATGGAATTTCCCCCTAAGGTTGGAGGGACTGACATGGGAGTCGCTCTCTCTCCAATGAATTTCGCGTTTGGGGGTCGTGTCCTATACCTGGCAATGAGGATTGAGAGACCTATTGATAGAGTTGCTACCCTGGGAAGCCAACGCCACGAGAAAGCCATTTTAGAGGGTCCCCGGATTTTGACACACACCCCTCTACATGGTTGCTGCTGGGATCCACATTTTTCCATGTTTGCTTATGGTTTAGTGGTTGACATCCAACCACTTAACCGCTCACAATTTCGATTTGTGCTTCCAACGTCAACCAACTATCTCCCGGGCTTACCGTTTGATCTCACCTCGGGCTTGTTGTGACCTCGGGAGTTGTGATCCGATCGCTGCATGCGCCGCGGTATCTGGATAGAACCAGCACAAGGTGAGCCAGTTCACCTTTGGTCATTCACCTCCGGTACTGTTTCCCTGAAGCAAGCCGAAAAGGGCTTAAACAGGCGCGCCATGTTATGCATATGTATATATGTATATACCCAGAGGGTCCAAGTACCTCTAAGGAGGTACTTTGACGAATTTTTACCCCCAGAAGCCATCCTCAGGAGGTACCAGGACCAACCGGGATACATGTGTATATATATATATATGCATATTCAGTTGGGTTCAGGGGATTCAATCGCGAAAGCAACGAACAGAAAAGTTACCGCCACCCAGTTTGGGCGGTTCTCCTCATGTTTCGAGTCCCCCCACCCCCCACAACCCCCCCCCCCCAACCCCCCCCCCCAACCCACCCCCCCTAACCCCCCCCCACACACCCCGCCGCACACCCCAAACCCCCCACCCCCCACCCCCACCCCACCCCCCACCCCCCGCTTCCCCCGCTTCCACCGGCCTCTTGGTCCCAGGACAGTTTGGGCGCTCAGCGAGTTCTGCTGTGGGCTCGCGCCTCCGAAGGGGCGAGAGGGGCGGCGTTTGTTGGGGGGGCGGCCCTTTCGAGCGCGCCCCAACATTTCCCTTACAGAAGGACGGAACGCTTCTCAAATCTTCTCAATTTTGAAGAGCTGGACTTTGTGGCATTTTGCTTGGAGGCTAGGACTGAACCATTTTTTCGCCAACTAGTGGGTTCTAGCGTTCAACCGCTAGTTAAACTTTGAGCGGGTGAGCAGAAAGCAAGCGAGGTCAAAGGATGCCTTTTGTCCTCAAACCCCAGCCCCACTGGAGTTGTTTTTTTTTGTGTTTTCTTAGTTTTTGACGCTTCAAGAGCATGGGACTTGCCCGAGCTCTCCTCGCACACTTTCCAGCTGCGAAAGTGGCAGCGGCAGGTGTTTGCTTGGATCAAGCAAGCACGTTTGCCAACTTTTCCAGCCGAGCAACTCAACAAGTCAGAAGGAAAGGCGGGCCCTCTTGTTGCTAGTTGCAAGTTTTTGTTGTGAACAAACATTTGAGGGGCAGCATGGCTGACTTTTTCCCGGGGCTTCTCAAAATGAGGCGGTCGGGTAGTTTCTGCTTGTCTGGAAATTAAGACCTGGAGATCGCAGTCGTTGTTCTTCGATGTGGGTGTGGCTCAAAATGAAACGATCGGGGGGGCCATCCGCAGGTTTTGGTCCATGTTTCCACGGGCAAGCCTTTTGGGAATTCCAGTTTTTTTGAGCCACAGCCATGTCCAAAGCCATAGTTGGGACTCCAAATGGACACGCAAAACAGGCCGGAGTGCGAATGGTTGGAATCTCCCAACTCCACTCAGGGCATGGCTTGTTTGAGGATGCCCCCCTTTCTGCATGTTTGCGGTGTTGGGCTTGGTTCAAGGCAATTCGTCAAATACTGATCCGACCACTAATCTGCAAATATAGAAGAGATATATATATATATATATACCGAGAGTCTCCATGACCCTTTCAAAATGGGTTCATGACCCCATTATTTTGGGTAATGACCCCATTTGTTTAAGGGTCATGGAGACTCCCGGTATTCTATTTTCAGTTGGGTCACTGGGGGTCCCCTTCGGTCAGTTGGGTTTTACTGCAACCTTGGTAAGTGGTAGTTTCCATTTGACCCACTAAAAGTTAAACTTTTAGCGGGGGATCTGAGGGCAGCCCAGTATATATACCTGGAGTCTCCATGACCCTTAAAAAAAGGGGTCATTACCCAAAGTAAAGGGGTCATGGACCCATTTTTAATGGGTCATGGAGACTCCAGGTATATATACTGGGCTGCCAAGAAACCCTCAGAGCGGCTCTTGTTTTTTGGGCCCTGGGGCCTGGGCCCCCCAGGACGAGACCCGGCGCTGCTTCGCGGCCCATTGGCCGCAGGCTCAGCGAAGCTCTGTGATGCTCCCTGGTGACCGGTCTGACAGCTATGGGGTTGGCCCACTTTGGCATCACAAGGGTCTTGTTCCCTGCCACAGGCCAAAGGAGCCACAATCACTCGGAATAAGCCCAGTGGATTAACAAGGGGGTGTTCGTAACAAAAGTTAAGGATTCCTTCTTGAATGGGACATCCCCCCATAAATGAACGTTGAAGACAGGAATGACCTTCACCATCCACTCGTACGGATTTGTGTATAGCATAGTGTTCTTTTGCTTCATTTATCAAAGGGGGGACCCCTCCAAAAGCGGGGATGGTTGTCCCTCTAACCCACCAAAAGAAGACCAAGCCTTGAAAATGGTGAAGGACTCCTTAATAGGTATCCCTTTTGAGATGATGTTTTGTGATTCAACAGCTCCTATTTAGCTGGCGTTGATTCTCATAGGTGAACATATTGAAACCTGTGATGACCAGATAGGAAAAGGGCATCATTTGCAGAAAGGAACCCTGGGTGCTGCCCCAGATATGATGCTGTTTTGCATGTGAATTCCTCAATATGTTTCGCAATCTGTAAAGACCTGAGTTTTCCATGACCCTTTACAAGATGGCCCACAAAACATGGGGGGTCATTCCCCCCCAAAAAATAATGGAGTCAGGACTATTCATTTTCTATGGTGTCAGACACCTGTCCATATCGCCCACATACCGGTGCGACTTGTGCAAGTCCTGTGGCCATTTAAGCGAGTTCGACCAAGCCACAGGAGGAAACACGTGCAGGGAGGGTGATCATTGGCCCTACAAAATCAATCGAAAGAGAGCCAAACAGAGAACAAGAGCAACAAAACAAGAGACAGGTGGTTGTTTTTGGGCACCAAAATCAAGCCCCTAAAGGAACTGCCACAAACAGGAACCACAAGGAACCAAACAAAATCACACGCAGCCAGGGATGGTTTTCAGGACACCCGGTCAACCGCAAAATTGCATCCCAAACTCAGGCGCGTCTCTATCCACCTGGACCCTCACAAGACCCTTCAACATGGGACCTCGCAACCCACAAAGTGAGGGTTGGTGGTTTTCCCCCTTTTCGGGTCTTTTTCCAATTTTCCAGGTAGTTGTCTCTCTTCAAAGTAGTTTCCCCTGGTGTTTGCTTCGGTTTTTCATTTTCCCTGGTGTTTTCCTTTTCAGGGTCGTTTGAGGGTCCAGGTAGAAGGCTCAAGCCCCGCTGATAGCGGCCTCGAGGCCAGCGCTGCTGCCTGCGGACTTCTGCAGCCACAGTTTCGAGGCCTTGATGGCCCACGGGTACGGCAGCCCAGCGAGGTGGCGGAGGGGAGAGGGCCGGCTCTGGGGGAGGGGGCGAGTTGGGCTCCCTCACTCCCGCCCCCCAGCCCCCATGGGAAGGAAAGGAGAGTACCTGAATTAAATGGTGATCTCCCCTTCCCAGTGGATCCCAGGCGTTTCGCCCTAGCAGGAAACCCGTCGATCCATTTTGCTTTTGGTTTTCTGAAAAAGTGGCTGGTTTCCTTAGTTACCCACTATGGTAAATGGCTCCACTTGGTAGGCTTGGGCATAGGGGATTCTGAAGCTAGAACAAGCTAGAGTGCTTCCAGGCAGCCACTGGGTAAGCAGGGATCCTTACCTCTATGCTTTACATGATGGTTTCCCCTGGTTAACCTACTATAGTGGTAACTGAAAGCACTGGGGAAAGGATTCACTAGGCTTGTATTGTCCCCAGTGTTTGTCCCTCCGTCCTATTACGGGGGGTGTTCCCTCCATTGAGTCGCATCCCCACCAAAAGGGGTTGCTCCTCCATCTCTCAACATCAACCAGGGGGGTCCAGATTAGTCGTGGTCCACATCAAGGCTCCCCCTACCTCCGCGCTTGACATTCTGGTTTTGCCCTCGAAAATCGTGGCTTCCCTTTTGGTTCCCCTTCAACCATGTGAACATAGAGCTGGACCCCGATCGTGGAACAAACTCAGTGGCTTCCCTGCAAACCAAGCCGAGAAAGGGTAACACAAGTGCCTAAAGTACCAACATCGGCTCCCCATGGCCATGACTTAGTTTAGTTTTTCGGTTTCGCCAAGGTTTCCTCCATTTCCCTTTTTGGAACCTCCAACAGTGGCAGTTTCCATGAAAGGGGACACGTGGTGACCGCTGTACCCCAACCCCATATACCCCCCAACCCCAACAACCCCCCCGGTGACCTCCTACCCCCCAACCCCAAACCCCAACCCAACCCCCCAACCACCACCCCCTTTTCGTTTCTCAAAAAACGACCCATTTTCGAGGCCTTGGGAGCCGCTCCACAGCAAGAAAGGCCAAGTGACCCGCGAGACCTGCTCGACACCCCAGCGCCGGCGTAGGGTTTCCCCAGAAAGCTATGGGCTCAAGAGGCCCAGAAAAATCGGCTCGAGGGGTGGTTTGCTTCTTTATTTTTCGTTTCCCCAACAGCTGAAAAAGCTGAGGGATTTGGTCTCTGCCGTAAAAGACTCTGGGTGGTTTGGGGCAGCTGTCAGGGAGGGTTCAGGAGGAGGGTTCGGGGTGGTTGGCGATATCACCTGGGCTGATTTTGGTTTTGGGGCGGGGGGATTGGGGGGACATGCCTCTGCGGGTCAATGTGTTTGCAACCAGATGTTTGTAGTTTCTTCTTAGGATTCTTGGCATTTTGCAACTGTTTTTTTGGGCATTGGTTTCTAGTGTTCTTGGCTGCAACATATATGGTCTAAGTGTCCATGGGCATGATGCGCTTCCGGATTGGCGTCAGAGCTCAGTGCCCGCGCCACGCCCTCATACAAACATATCATGCAATGTGATTCGATTTGGCGCGTCGATCTTTGGAGAGTATGTTGGAGAGTATGTGTTTTTGGATTCGTCAAACAACAAATGAAAGAACATTTGGTAAACGCCACCATTTTGGGGGGGGAGAGCCCTTGGATCACGCCTAATTGGACATTTTGGGGCAAAGCCGGTTGTGCCTTGAATAGGGGACACCGAAAAAGGAGGGGCTGCCATTCAATGCAGCCCATAAAAGGATACCCTCACAAGAACAAAAGTCAACCATGTTGGATCCATCAAGCCTGCGTGATGACCAGTCAAGAGCTCCTGCTGGGTTGATGCAACTTGCGATGACTGGCGTGGCCAAAGCTCAACCGTACAGCTGGAAATGGGACGACAACGTCATGACGCAGCGCACCAGGAAAAGGGGGGGAGGTTCGACAAGGTATTGTGCAATCTCACTGTGTTTGCTCGAAACAGCTGGGGTACATTCACCCAAAACCTACCCAGACCCAAAATATGAGGGCCTGGAAGCCCCAAAGGCGAGGTCTTGGGCTCCTAGGGCTATGTCAGTCGGACAATTGAGCGTGGCCATCGTACGTCCAGCGGGCTCATGGGCTCAGTGACTCAGGCTGGTACGTGCGAGGCGGCTGCCGCTGCGATTACACCTACGGCATTGCGCGCGCCTGCGGCTTGGGACAGAGCATCAAACTTCATCGACCATAAGGCCCTCAACACACATATCCCTCAACCATGCTTGGTCGATATAGCCGCATATGCACAGATTGTTCACCAAAGTTCAGAAAGCCAAGACTCCTATGCAGGCTCTGTAGGCTCAGCCCTACAGCCAAGCAGCCAAGTGGGGCTGCCAGGCGCGGGATGGGCTGATACACCTTTGGTGGAAAAATCATCGACCCCCCTTGTAGTGAAGCGACCCCCTTGTTGAGGGGGTTGCCAATTTTCTCACAGGTGGCAAAAAGACCCTGAGTGGAATGGTTTTCTTCAGCGTCGATCTTTGGGACACAGAACCCGTCGATCGAGGTGCGGGCCAAGCGCAAGCAAACCAGCGCTTTCCGGGCAGCCCGGGAGCACAGGAAGCGGGCAGTTTGCTTCAGCGAGCGAGCGAATAGGTGTGAATCTAAGGGGCATGGGTATGTGTCAGAGAGGACCTGACCATTTTTTGGGGTGTCTGTCTTGTTTCAAACCAAGCCAACCCCTCAAAAACACGCCCGAATAGGATGCTGACTTGCTACAAATATGAATAAATCGTTGGGGTGGCTGGTGGAATCTATCGCTACTGGAGACTTCAGCAAATGGAGGAAAACTGCTCGAGAAGAACATTGGCGTGCCCGTTCTCAGCAGTCGTTGATAGGGAAAACTGAGGCCATGTCACCCGGATTTGCCCGGGTTGCGGGAGCAGCCTCATTTCCAAAGCGATCGCCCCTGTGATTTGCACACCCTTGGTTTTCTGGGGACCCAACCAGTCGGGGGTTGAGTGCTAGATTCAGCTGACACTCATTCGATGGTTTGGGGCCTTTCCAGTGGTTTTGGGGCATTTCCCGTTCAGATTTGAGAGGAATGATTTCAATTATTACTTTTCCCAGCGAAAATTTGCCTGGCATCCCCAAATGTACCCAGCTCCCAACCATACCGGAGCTCATTTTGACAGAGACCCCATAGCTTTCAGCTGTTGCGGACAAGCACTTTTCCGGGCAAGGTAACAGATATTTCCCGCGATGGGGGGCGCAACAACTGGTTGGTGTCCGCTCATTGGTCCTGTAAATACCATCCCAAGCAATGTACCCAAATCCACCTCTACGCAACCTACCCATGTCTGAAGAGGAACCAAGGGTTTAAGTGCGCCATGTGGCAAATCTCAATAGGCCACTGATGCCTTGCTACAGCGGCCCCAGGGCAACCAAAAGTGTCTCAAAGGAATCGGAGCCGGGATCCAAACAAGGCTTCGGCTTCCTTTTGGCAAACGCTGTTTACCATGCAAAAGGGGTCACCGAGCCATCAACAAAAAGGCAGAGGTTCTAGCTTTTTTTCTAGTAGGCCTTGACACAACTCAATAGGGGCTACGAGAAAAAACTTGAACTCCTTAACCCTAACCCTTTGGGGTTCTAGTTGTTTACAGGTCAGGCTTGAAACGTGGTTCCCCTTACAGCCGGGTTCCCAGGGTCCCTGTCTTTCCCTTCCATGCCACTTGTGTTGTCATCTTCTGGTTGCCAATGGTGGATTTGTGTATCTCTCTTAATGTCGAAAGGTGAAATCAAGGGAAGCAAAGGCAAAAAGAGGGACCCCCCCCTGGAGTTCGGCTCCACACTTCTTTTGAAAAGTTCAACAGGCCCAGCCGGGGTCCTTTTCTAGGGGTTGACTCCCCATTGCTTTCAACCATCGTTATTTTCAAGAACCAGCTGTTTTCCCAGGGTTTTTGGTGGTTCGCTAGAAAGAAGGATCCCTGGAAAGAATGGGAAGCTACCCTTAGACCTTTTGCTGGGCTTCCAGCTGGAAGCCAGCGACTCGAGCGGCTAGGCGATGGAGATGCTCTTGACGGAGGTCATGGGCCGGGAAGTCCCGGAGAAATCGGACAAGGAGTCATTGTGGGTGGAGTGAGTTTTTGTTGTTTCTAGGGTGTTGTTGCGCTGGGTTGAGGGAGGTTGAGTGAGGTTGAGCGGTGTTGAGTTGGCTTGCTTGGTTGGTTGCTTGGTTGGTCGGTTGGTGGGTTGGCCAGTGTTTTTGGGTTGTCCAATCATTTGATCACAAGGCGACGGCGGGCCAAAGCTTTCAACGGACTCCGAGCGGATATATATATATATATATATATGGTACCCCCCCCCATGGACCCTGGTTTGGTGCGGTTGACCTGTATTTTTCAGTGTTTTATGCTTCTTTTTGCTTCTTGGATTTGTGTCAAAATTGGGGGGAGGGTCATACATGTATATGATACGCATGCATGCATACAGATGTGATAAAAGCAATGACATCAGCACCTGCAATCTGAAAGAGTTTGAATGCATCCAATAATACAAGAACAACTCAGACATTTTTAAAAATTATTAAAAAATATGGGATTCAAGATTCAAGATTCAAGAATGTGAGAAACTATTTTCTGGGAATCTTGAATCTTGAATCTTGAATCCCAGAATGTTTAAAAGTGTTTAACAAAAAATATGGATTCAAGATTCAAGATTCAAGAATCTGAGAACATATTTTCTGGGAATCTTGAATCGTGAATCCATTTTTGTTTTTTTAAGTTTAAAAATTCCAGGGTTGTCCCAATACTCTCGGTGTTCAATAAGATTCTCAGAAAATTTTTCCGTGAAATAGTTCAATCCAGTGGTAACGGATGTTCGAGGAGATAGAACAACTTGAACAATTTAGGGGTTGACCAGGATGGATGATTCTCAGGAAAGTGGTGGTTTGTGGGCTCCTCAATATTGAATCCCCAATCCAGTGGTAAAGCACTTTCAAGTGTTAGAAGAACTTGAATGCTATTTGGGTTTGGCCAGGATTGACAATTCTCGGGAAAGTGTTCTGTGTAATCTTCAATATTGAATCTTCCATCCGATAGTAGCAAATGTTCAAGTGCTTAGCGATCCAGTGGACACACTTTCAAGCTATTGGTTAGACACACTTTCAAGTGCTTTTGGTGAGCTTCATGCCAGCTATGCTCATGTTGACCCCTTTCCAGGAGGTAAACAAAGGCAGGTGCAACGCTCAAAAATACTGTATATTCCAGTATTTTATGAGGAGGCGCAGGATCATTGGGGGTACTATATATGTGTGTATGTATGTGTATACATAGATATACATATGTATGTACGTTCACACACAGTCCCCCACCCTCTTCAACTACCTGTCCACATTTGCTCATCTACTACCTCCACCTTTTGAGATAGAATTAACTTTCCTGCGCAAATAGAACTTTAAATACAACGGTTTAGCTAGAATCCCTGTGTTGAGATAGTTTTAGATTTTGAACCTCTCTTCCCTTGAAATTTCCCTTTGGAACACCGTCTAACAAGTTCAATGTCGGACCTTTCTTATGCTACAAAAGGGCCAGAATGTAAATAACACAAATCCTATTTTGAATTTCCAAATGTTTAGCCATATTTAATATGAATTTTATTTGAGATGTAGCCTCTATTCACTTGATATTATCAAAAGCAAATTGAGTTGTGTTCGTCTTAGATTATATTTACCACTTGGATTATATTTGGGAAAAACTTCCATCTAACTTATTGTGTTATAGATTAGTTGGAGTTTAGCTGAAACTATATATTTACATTTTCATGTAGCTGCTATTTGGAAAGGATTTGCTTGTTTAAGCTGTAATTGAACATAAACACATTTTTGAAAACTATATCCATACTAAACTATATTCAAAAATCCAATTCTAGTTGAAGTAACATTTTATTTGCAAAGGGTATCATACTGGGACATTGTGGAGGACTCCGGGCTCCAAATTATCACGCTTTGGGGACCCACAATTGGAAATTTCGAGAATATAAATTTGGAAATTCTAGATTTGCCATCCCCAAAAGGCAGTAAAACCAGGGTCCATGGGGGGGGGGTGCATATATATATATATATATATATATGTACGTGGGTGGTTGTTGAAATGATGGACCCCATCCTAGACCCATCTTGAGGGCCAACATGAAACCAGGATGCCAGAAAGGCTCACATGTCCCCAACAATCCCCTGATGTCAAAGAACATGATGTCAATAAGGAGGAAATAACTCTTGCAATGATACATTGACTTCAGTTTGCTTTCAACTATACGCTAAGCTTTTCACATGGCCTTTTTTCCAAAGCAGCCTGAACTACGCAGTCGGAAGTCACGTCATCCATGCAGCCGCCCTGAAGGAAACCATAGGGGAAGGCAGTATTCTCAACTACCGTCTTGGCAATGGATCCATGAAATAACAACCAGTCATAAGCCTCAACAAAAAAAAGCAACCTTTTCCCTCCCACACAAAGCTTGGACCACGGCTTGTTTGGATTTGCTTCTCTTTACTGGAGCCTCCGGATCTGACCCTGATAGAATGAGATCACCTACTCAAAACAATATGGGATCATAAGAGTCAACACTCCATGTTTAAGGGTCATGGAGACTCCAGGTAGTGGGGGGAAATTCGAGGGTTGTGAGGTAAGACTGGGGTTAGCATGTTTAAGGTTTTTTTGTTCAGTTCAATTAATGTTACTAGGGGCTGCAAAAAACATAGCGTTTGCTACCATTCCAAGGGTTGGACAGTTAAGAACTCCCGTTTTGGAATTCAATTGGCCCAGTTCAGCTCTTTGAGTTGAAGAATGATTTGCCGTTCAGAACAATCCGGCAAGCAAAGGCCGAAAGAGCGCAATGCCACGCCGGCTTGCACAGACAGGTGAGACCACAAAGGATTCTTCTCATGCACACCTTGGTTCGCTGTTGCTCCAGCCCCGATATTTGTGTAAGAGTAGTTTGTGGCCAATGATTACGATTGATAGCTCAAGCTCCGGGCCTATGCTAAACCAGAGGGTTGGTCCAATCCTAGTGTTTGCAAGTATGACAGATGGGTCGGTTTGCCGAAGCTTGCGCTGGAGTCAAGAGACCTTCCGGATTGTATGGTCAAACAATATGCAAGACTAGGATGTGGGCCCTCTATGTAGATGTACTCAAAGGTTTTTCTTCCCACAGCCAACCGTTAGGCCTTGACACGTCCCATAGACAGATTCTTGAGCAGATGCCTCTTGGCCCATTTCAACTATGATATCTTCCGCTGGACCAAAGGGAAACCACCATTTGTGTGATCTTAATTATGTGTAAACATCGCGAACAACATCTCTATATATAGTGCTTATTTCGATCCACTTATTCGGAGAAAGAGGACGTAGTCTCAGGGTCAACTTGTCTCTCTTTTGCGGGGTAGGGTTAATAAGCGCCCGTGCTTCAGCCCCGGTGCTCTCATCTCCCGGTCCAGCTTCCAGAACCTCTGGCCATGATTTTTTCAGAGTTAGAACCACCTCGACAGTGGTTGGAGACATAAATCCCGTCTTAAATGATGTCCCGCAAAGGGTCCCAAACTTGAATTGAAATTCATACACCTGGACCCTCAAATACCCTGAGAATTGGGTATTGCTCCAAATGATGGGGTGAATTCCCTTTTGTAAGGGTACTAGTTTGCGGGTCCCCCATTTTTTCGGAGCCCAAAGCTTGGGTTTCAACTTGGACTCTCGGCTCTGAGGCCGCATGTGTCCCTGGCTGCCTAAAGAGGCATGGCCGAACTGCGCCAATCTGAACCTCTACACGGAGGCCTATCAGTCTGTTGGCCCGGGCACCCGAATCGGAGAGGTCACAAGGCGTTCCTCCACCCCCCCTCCCGGGGGCGCAGGTGTTATTTTGCTATGTGTTGCTTGTTTAGCCTATTGGCGGACGCCCTTTCGGCGCTCAAGCTGCCGGGACTTTGCGAGCCTCGTAGAGGGGGAGGCTGGCGTGTTTTTTGTCCAGTTCCCCAACCCTTGGGGTCCCAAGACCCTTGTTGAGGTCATTCGGGGTCAAAAGCCCTCATATTTTGGAATCCGATGTTTCACTCAGAACGATGGCGATGGCTCACTGAGTCGTAGAGTCGTGTTTTTGTTTTCCCTTTTTTTCTAGCCATTTCGGCTCGCTCAGGTATGTGACGCGGCGCCACCCCAAAATGTCAAGCTCTGAGGATTCAGACGCTTCAGAATCTGACTCCGAGATCGACCTATTTCCGTTGCCTGATTCATCAGGGAGGCCTGAGCTCCCTTTCTGGTGGTGGAAGATCAGCTTGCGGTACAAAGTCGCTGCTGCATTTGGTCGTGGGCAAGAGGGACATGATTGGATAGCAGAAGTGGAAGATCCGCGCACGACTTTCGAGTCGATCCAAAATACCGGTCTGCTGTACGATCATGGCCGGTATCCAATCTCCACTGAAGTCCATAGAGTGAAACGCTTGCGTGTCATCCCTTTGCCTGAGTTTGAGCATTTTTATTCATGGAAGTTTGCTCTCCGTCAGCAGATCGTTGCAACAAGTCGAGCTGGGCAAGCTGCTTTTGATTGGTTGCGGCAGGTGGAGGACAGCTTCCGAGCTTATGTGTGTTTGTTTCTTTTTGGGGAGTCTCGTATCGCGGGTAAGCATTGACACCGGGCAACGGTGAGGACTTGTTTGGCTGAGATAGAATTATAGCCACGAATGGAGCCCCTGTTGGAAGGTCGGAAAAGAAAGCCGTGAACAAGCCAAGCACAAGATCGCAGGGAAAAGCCAAGGCCAAGACGCAACGTGTGGATGTTAATCAAGCAACCTCAGCTTCGGAACTTGAAACGCCATACATGCATCAGAGTACTTTCTAAACATAATGTTGAACAGTTGCCTTTTCCCCGCAAAATGGGGCACCTGGATTCGCGGGGCCCGGGGCACCCTTTGTAAGAATCCGAAGCTGACAGGCAGTTTCGTTTGCTGAGTGGCAAAAGAAAGGGCTGAGGCTGAAACTATCTAGGTGCCCCAGTAGTGCCCTTTTACCAACTTTTTTGGGGGAGGGTTCTCCTACTAAAATCGACCACACAAAAAAGTTGGTTACCAACTTATTCGAACCTCTCAAATCTGGAGGACCTAGCTATTTTTTTTCGCGTTTCCATGGCAGCCTCTGGGTTGGCCAAGCCTGAAACTGGAATGTCCATGTTCGAACTTTGTCGAGCTCGGAGAAGTGACAAGTTTTTGAATTTGGACTCCGGGGATTCGGAAAAGGGGCACCCAAAATCCCGGACATGATAAAATTGGAAGATCAGTTCGCAGGTAAGCTTCCCCATTCTTTCCATGCATCCTTCTTTCTCGAAAACCTCCGAAACCCGAGGGAAAACGGATCCGGTTTTTGGAAAGGACGATGGTTGAAAAGAATGGAAAAGGAATCAACCCCTATGATCCAGGCCAGTCTCTGGCAAAAGCTGGTGAGTGGGAAAGCGTTGAATCGCCAGCTCGAGGTTGGCATGCAGACGACGAGTCGCTGTTTTTGGGCCAGGCACTCAGCGCCGGGTGTGGATTGTTTGCCCACCTGTTTGTTCAGACTCAAACGCCAGGCGTCAGTTGGTACTTACTCCCAGTAATTAGTCATAGGGTGTTATTCCACCCAGATCCATGTACTTGTGCGGTGGGTAACCCAAGGCTTGCCACCCTTACAAAACCAAAAGGACAATGGATTGGGATCCACCGGGGTCAAATATCAACTGCAAGTATCAATTCCCAGTGGAGACTCGGAGACTGGACGAGGTCGGGACAAAGACTGCCCCATCATCTCGGTGTCCCTTGGCGCCAGACGCGAGCCACAGCCTCAGGTGATTTGCACCGGCGTGAAAGTTTGGTGAAGCCTTATTCAAATTGAACTCGTCTTTTGTTGAGGTGGTACCCCTGTCTTGTGGCTTTGAACGGAAACCAAGCGGACCACTCTACAATTGTTTGGGCCCCCTAAAAAAGAGACGCCCATTTATGAGCAGCCCTCTGAGAGGCGGCCGAGTAGTACTTCTTCACTCCTTACCACTCAAGAAGACCAGACGGTTTCACTGCCTGGATCGCCAGTTGCTGTTTTTTGTTCCCCATGCACTTTACCTTAAAAGCTAGCCACGGGCTTACTGAAATAAGCGATCGCAACTTGGCTTTCTGGCTTGGCCTTTGTTCTGAGTCGGCGGTCCGCGAGAAGCCAACACCGAGCGATGTGTTTCGGGCGCCAGGAAGCTCTGGCCCTTCGATTTTCCGATGAGATCCCCGGGACCCAGTGGTGATGTTGACCCCCCGGATCCAAGTAGATCCTGTCCTGTGGTGGGGACCCCTCCAAAAGTTCATGTAGTCCAAATATCAAAAGGGCTTGCTCCCCCTAGTCAAAATCACCACATTTCCCTTTCTCATTTCTGGTGGAAGGGAATTCTTCAATCCCATGGCACCCTTTCTCATTTTTTTTTGGAGTGGGAAGCCTTGAAAACCAACCAAAACAGGGTGGCCCCCGCTGGTCTGGGTGGCCAGGATGTTTCACCTGCCGCAGCAGGTTCTCTTAATTTCTTCCTCGGGTTCCGTATCTCTGCTGGATTGTCACGCAGAGAGTCCCTTGGTACCTCATATTTCAGCATGAATTCCCGGAATCGGTTGACAAATGGCCAAAGGAACGACCCCCAGAACCGGCAAAACCCTTTTGGGTTCTGTTTGGGAACCATGGGGAAAGGGGGGCAAAGGCCCGAAAAGGTTTGCCCTTCCGTGCCTTTTCTGAGGGTCATTTCAGGCACATCCAGCTGGTTTCTGATGGATTGGGCCATGGTGTGGCTCGCTTTATCGAGGCTCGGTACCCTTTCCAGGCTTTTGAAGTAGAACCGAAAATAATAATCGCCATGTTTGGGATCTCACATATTTAGCCACCCAAAAAGTCCAAGTACCTCATAGTTGCCGACCTGCTCGGAATCAAAATGAGGAATTTTCGACTGAACCAAACCCCCAACTACCTGGGACCCTTTAAAAGTGGGTGCATGACCCCATGAGTTTGGGTAATGACCAACCATTTTTAGGGCAAAACCCCTGTACCCCTTCGGGACACTCTGGGGCCACCTGCCGGGAAGAAGCTCCTCCAGGTTTTGGCTGGGCCTGCGGCACGAGGGCTGCTGCATGGACCCGCAGCTGAAGAGCATCCTGGAGGAGTGGAATTCGGAGTCGATTTTTTGTTTTTTAAGGGACGCCTGTGTGCGTTTGGATTTGGACCATTTGGGTAAATCATAACTTTGGACATCTCCTTCCAAACTCTTTTGACTCACTGCCTGAGTTGCTGGACTTGAAACTGTTTAGGCTTACCGTTTCAGTGGTAAGCAATCAGTTTGGACATGTTTGGGCCATGTTGCTCAGGATGTGAATTTTACGTTGTAGGGTAAACTTGACAAGTATGGATCAGAATCCACAGAAATCATGTTCAGTGTACGTCAAAAAGAGGCTCAGTAGTTTCGGCGGGGTTCATGGGGTGCCAAAACAAAAAGCTGCGCATTTGCCTATTTTAGGTAAGGATTGGTCGGGGCTGGAGTGTGAAGCCCTGATCTCGTTTGCAAATGGAAAGGGACCACAGCTGGCATTCCTCAAGCTGTTCCTTTCGTTTCTCCGGCCTTTTGTTAGGAAAACACCAGGAACCCAAGACCAAAAATGAATCCCAACGAGCCCACTTTGGGTTTCCATTTTCCATTCGGGCCGTTTTGTTTTGTGGGTACCCCCCTTTTTGGCCTGTTTTTTGTTGTTGGTTGTCCCCCCCCCCTTTTTTTTCCGGGGGAACCCAATGGACAGCCACCCATTTCCGTGGAGTGCCAGCCTTCAAAAACGACCACGGCGGCTCCGAGAGGTGGACCTCTGCAACGGGGACATCCTCACCATGGAGGCCTCAGATGAGAGACATGGGTCCCATGGGTCCCATGGGTGTCCGATGTTTGGTGGGCTTTGGGAAAATTATTGATGGCGATTCCTGACCTTCCTATTTTTGGTGGTTTGGGTAGAAACTTGCTGGCGATTCCTGGTTGACCTTAGCAGGTAACCCCCTAGAGGTGGTTTTACGACTCTAGGTTTGCATAGTCTCCCCAGGTTGCCTGTAAGGTAGCTGGAAGCACTGGGCTACGCAAGGAATTGGTTTGCTTCGTGAATTTTCCAATAGTGATGGAGCTGCAGATTGTCCATTCTGACTGATGCGGGGATGCAGGGAGACTCCAGAAGTCAGCCCTTGCCTGACTCCAGAATCGAAGAACATAACCATCCCGTTTTCTTTTCCCTGATTTCCGCTGGTGCTTTGTTCTTTGTTGTGATGGGGTTCCGATTCAAAGCAAGCCGACAAGCAAAGTGTGGCCTTCTTCCCACAGGGCAAGTGAGATGTTCCGCGTAGGTAATGGCAGGAGTTGTTTTCTGCTAGCTTGCAGAGGAAAAGCTCGGAGCTTGTTGGTTTGTGTGTGTGTGTGCGTTTGTAGGTGCGCGAGCGCCGTCCCGATTAGCGGGAAGATTTGTATTGCTCCTAAATGGTTTCTACTAACCCCCCCACTGCTCTCAAAAGATGCAAAACGTGTATTTGCCTCATGGTGGCATAGTGCATGTTTATCCCAATTAAACCCTTGAGTCCAATCCCGGTGCTATCCCGGTGCTGTGGTGGTCGGGGGGGGAGGGGTGGAGAATGCTGGACCCTTTTTTGGAGCTAGGGACGTGGGACAGGGCTTCAACCTGGATCAAGAAATTGCTTGTCAAGAGTGAACTGGCCACATGGGTGTAGGCCGGAAGGAGTGCATCAAGAATCCCAAAGCTTGAACGTCAAAAACGAACAAGGAAAGAGCGAAGCAAAGAACAAACGAAAGAAAAAAAGAAACACAAAAAACATAAAGAAATACATAGAAAACGAAAGAAACACAGTTCAGGATTCCAAGAAATATATCTGTGAACAGCGGGGGACAACGTGGGAGTTATTTCTTCACCCTGCCATCAACATGTACATTGCCATGGCGGCAACCCAACTAGCCACCAAGACTGATCTGCTAATGCGTGAACCACCGTGTTAGACGGACGACTCATGAGATCTGTGCGACAAATGTAGCAAGTGAAGCAATGCAATAATCTAGCATTGCCCCCCCATGATTTATCATTTTGTGGATTTCGGACTCTGTGTGTCACGTTGGTGAATTCTTCTACTTTGCGCAGATGCCTATATACTGTATAGTGGTGTGTGTTTCTTTTGAGGGTACCCCGGTTCCCCTTTCTGGTCTTGAATGCCCTTGTTTGGATACAACCCACATCAGCCTTCTAGGCACTGGCACGCAGTTCACATGCCTTCTCCGCCGGGACGGGACTGTCTGACGGCTCCCCGACCTTTTCCCCTTGCATGCTGCGACAACCTCAAGTTCGCAAAGACTGCCAAAGACCCAGCGTGGCCGCTGCGAATGATGCGGACGTCGAAGGAAACGGGTCCAGAGCCGGCAAGTGGCGCCTCTGAGCTTGCGCAAGCTGCAGCATCTCGCAGCGAGGTCGCAGTGAAGGACACGCAGCGGGCCATCAGCGTTCGACCTCTGCAGCTCAGTCGCGCACCCCAGTGGAAGACTAGGTTGGCATGAGCCTTTTGTGGTGTTGCCGGGTTGAGCAGGGTAGGGCTCTGGTTTGGCTAACAGCTTCTCTTGAGTCGCTTTGTGAACTGTAGCAGCACAGGTTGGATTCGACCTCTTTGATTGCTAGTGTATCTCGACCTGGCAGGCCATTAATAAGCTGGTACTGGTGAACAGCTTGCAACAGACAATATTCCTACCGTAGGTGTCCTTTTCAGGTTCGGTCGGTTAGAAATATACGGGGTCCACTGTTTCAGATGAGTTTTATTACCCATGTACCAGGGAAATCGATCTATTTCTATCCAAAAGGGTCACCCATGAGTGCGTAACCCAAGAGGAAAACCACCATTTCTTTTATGGGGGGGTGGGGGGGGGTCCATACATTCCTACTTCAGCCATTCGCCAGTCTAAGACCAAACTCACTACCCCCAAAACACTACCCCCAAAAGCCCACATTTTGTGCTCCAGCGGACCCTTCAAACTGCTTGATGTTTGAAATGATTTGCCTGCAGCTGCGTGGCCCCTAGAATGGCGAGTCCCTACCAGCACAGTTCTTCAGAATGGCTTAGCCTGGTGCCCGTCTACCTCGTGGCTAAAAGTGGTGAACTTTTGTGGTCGATTGTCCCGGTATTCGAAAAGCGCTGTTGCCACCCACACCGACTCCGGAACTCCCGCACTATCCCCGCGCTACCGCCCCCAACTACCCCCAAACTGGGGGTAGTGGTGTGATTCATCTTTTTCACGCGAATACCAGGTGACGTGTGACTACCCCCAAATCGCCCAGTCAAATCCACAACCCCCAACCGCGCGTTTGTGGACTCACTACCCCCAAAACCGAGGATGTGGCGGTCCCTCCAACGCGACATGATCAAAGCAGCAAACCAAACTGGCTGCCAAGAAATCAAAGCTTTGATGTTCACCTTAAACAAAGATACCGGCGCAAACCAAGCGTTGATGTTCACAAGTTTCAACGTCAAACTGATAGCAGCGAACCCGGATGAAACACATGCCGCAGCTCCAGAATTACCTGGTTTCTGCAGCAGCCAAATATGCACAAATTGAGGCGCCCTCGTATAACCCTTATATAACCCTTTCCTAACCTTTATATACCCTGTATATATCCATTGGCTTCTGGGGGTAGTGGTTTGGGGGTAGTCAATGTAGTCTTAGAGCCAGGGGCTGTGCCAAAAGCATTGCGTGCACTTCGTCCCTTGCGATGTCCGCAACGTCGCAGCGGAAGCCCATCGTGCGAGCCTGAGAGAGCGAGGTTTGATGGGGGTGTGCGTGGGTGTTTCTGAGGGTGCCCTTTTGGGGTGGTTTGAAGAGAAACCAACAGGGAAAAGCCATGATTTGTGGGGTCCCCCTAGTTTGATACATACCCAAATAGTTGCCCAGCCTCCCGCAAGCAAGCATGGCTGTCTGCCTGTCTATAAAAGAAGGACGGGCATGACTCATGACCTTAGTGCTTGTGGCAAAACAGGCGTCCACGTAACACAGCACTAGCGCCAAGGGCAAGCCTCTTCTACCAGCAGCCTGCCAACAACATTCAGGCGGCATCATAAACACGGACATCAACGTCATTCCATGAGTCTCGGAGTGATCAGTGTTTTAAGAAGCAGCTGCAACGTGGATCCTGCTCCTTCTTTTTGCATGCTGGAATCTGAGCTTGGGACCATACATCTTTGTCCTTGACTAAAATGATTGAAATGGTCCACCCAACCGTTTGACAAAATGAAGAACACAGAAAGTCGCAGAATCCCAGGTTCATGGAAGTGGACGAAGAAAGAACTTACATCCTACCAGCCCCCCTCCCCAACCACTGCTTTTTGGTGACTTGGGATTTCGGACATGATTAACAGAACCGAACAGTTGGGTGTGTGTGTGTGTGTTTAACCACCTGAGATTTAGACCCCATACTAATCAACCCCAGTTTGTTAATAGGGGGGGCGTTCCCCTCCAAAAGTGGTCTTGATTCCCCACATTTCACCCAGGGACACCCCCGGAGTTGAATGAACTGGATAAATATGGGGTCAACAGTACTGCTTTAGGTGTTTTGGGGTTTTCTTCAAATTACTGGGGCTGATGAATATGGTTTCAACAGCAGCGCTTGCGGTGCTTTGGGGTTTTCTGCAAATTTCTGGGTTCAGGGTGCTGATTGGTCTCAGGTTCAACGTTGACCAGTGCAGCTTTTTCTGATCGCCTCGGCTTGAGGTGCTCGGATCAACGTCACCTGGCGATGGACCCCGCGTGCGCGCGCGCGTCGCATCGCCGAGGTTCATGGGTGGCTCTTCTTTTTCGAGTTGGTACCTGTTTTGTTCTTTGTGGTTTTAAGGGGAAGCCTAAAAGGAAACCAGCTACTTTTGGAGGTCCTCTAACAAAAACACACACACACACACACGCACACACACACACACACACACACACACACACACACACACACACACACACACACAAACACACACACACACACACGTAATAGACCAAGGGGAGCCATGGAAAGCGTTTTGTTCTTGAAGCAGGTCGCTGCCATAGCCCAGTCATGTCAGGAGAAGGTCGGTGAGAATGCCTTACAGCACCTTCTGGCTGAATTGCGGCAGATTACATGGGATTTGTGGATAAGGTCTCCTCAACATGTAGTTGGTGCCGACAACTAAAGCACATGCCACGCATGGAGTTGACTGCCACTGGTGTATGTGTGTTCTGTGTGTGTGTGTGTGTGCGTGTGTTTGTTTGGAGGCTGGGTACCCTTTGCCCCTTGGCTTAAAAGGATACGAAAAGGACGACCACCAGTTTGGGATTCGATATTCACTGGAGGCCAACCTTCTTTCAAAGGCAGTGTTTCGACGTTGTTTGCTTTGCAAAGACTAGTGCATCCATGAATGCTTTCCATGGTCAACCTGATCTTTTGAGGAAGGGGATCGTGTTTGAGCCCGGGATCGCCGCGCACATCCTTTTCAGTCCAGGGGGACACGATCCATTTGGGCTACCCGCTTTGATGCATCCGGATCCTTTCTTCCGAAGGTGGGGGTTGAGCAGAAGTTGGTCCGGTACACATGCGATGACCAACAGGGAAAACTGCCAAGATTTGACCTTCCCACTAAATGGGGAAAGCTACCTGTGGTCACTTGGGGGCCCTATAGACGGAATTTTGATCCACCCCCATGTGGCGCTGTGCAGGGATTCTTTGGGCATGTCCCCAGCGGGCAAAGGTCAAGATACGTTCATGCGACTGCCAGACGCTCCCTGCATGGCCTGTCGCTCTTCGGATTTTCAGTATCCACGAGCTTTCCCCGGCAGGATTCACCGGCAAAAGGGAGTCTTGAAAGAGAACCGACGTGAAACGATCATGCCGTTTCATGTGGAGTTCCTGGTGTTCGAAACACGATCACGCCCTGCAGGATCCGGGACCACAAGCAGCGGTGCTAGAGTCTCAGTTGGACAAATCTGGCGGGTAGGCAATGACCGAAATCAGTTGCATACAGCTGTTGGGCAAGAAAAAAACACACCGGAACCCCGCAATATGGGGAACCCCACTGAGTGGTTTTCAAGTGGCTTTCCCTCTGATTCAATCCCAAAAGGAGCTTCCCAAAAAGCGGCCGGCACACCCATGTTGCTGCCTACTGGCTAGCTCACGGGGTAGAACGAGCTGTCCATGAAGGATCCCGTAAATTCGAGCATCCTTGTTTACGCCTCGGGACTCTTGGCAAAATTTGCCGCCCGGATTCATCACCTGACCAAAAGTGAACCCGGAGAATCATAGGTTGATTAGCCCGCCCCAGTGAGGTATGTTCGAATTTATTAATGTTGACTTCGGGTTAATCCAGAGGACCCTACTTGTTGCAGAGGACACCCTAATATAAATAGCTAAAGAGAACCAGCCCTGCTTAGTACGGCCGAAGTTAGCATCACTGGTGGATTTTCGGGTTCAACCCAAGCATTTGTTTTTGGAGACCTATCCCTCGCGCTGTTGGGTTGTTCGTATGATGGGACTTTGTCAGACAATCGAACAAAGAGGGGGTTTATAGATCATGGGCGATTGAACCATTTGGGTTGCATTAAAGGGAGTTGGCTTTTGCTAGGGTGATGCCTAAAAATCGGCATGTGATTTTACTGACTCGCGAATCCGCATTTGTTCCTTGGATGTTCCCGGTGTGCTCCTCTTTGGCAATATGCAGAAGCCATTCTTAAGATCGGAGGTCTATTTGGGACGTGCCTGATCAGTTTTGCCGACGTTTAGTACGTCGGAGGGTCTGCGCCACCCCAGTTCCCGTTAAAACACTCCCGTACGGCGGTGCACAGGCTTGTTCCAGGAAGACCGTCCTCAGGGGGGTCTCAACCATGTTTGTTGGGGGGTAGTTTTGACACCGGATGAATCGACCCTGGAAGCTTGCGACAAGTGAAGGACCTCAAAAGGGTATGCTAGCTGGTGGTTCGGAGCCGTTGCAGGGACTATCCAAATTTGCATCTTGAAGAGGGAGTCTTTCGGAGCTAGGAGTTGGGGATATGGAAGTGGTACATGAGTCCTGGCTCCCAGAAATGGTTTGAGGCTGGTTGAACCAGTGGGCCCCTGGAATCTACGCCCAATCGAAGCGCTTCGCTTGGCGCGAGGCCCAAAACGTCTGGAAAACAGCGCAGAGTTCTTTTTCGAGACCCATGGCCACTGCCCCAGCGCTTCGCCCAGCGAGCCGAATGCATCGGGGTGGTCACCGCTGGGTTGGAAGTTGATACCCTCCGTGCCAAGCAAAGAACAAGAAGCACCCCCCATGTGGCTGTCCTCCTTGGTGTCCGATGAGAAGGCAACAACCCCAAGATACCTTCCCCCCAACCATGTGGGGGGTATACTGTTGTTGTTCAAAAATAAGGCTCCTTTTTCGGATTCCCCCATTGTGGTGCCACCAACCTCAGGACGAATGTGCCAGGGTAGTTTCCTGGCCGTCCCCTTGCCGTTTTGGTTCCCCTTAAGGAGGCTCCCCTTAAGGAGGGGCTACACTCATAGAGGGCTCTCTTCATTTTCCCGGAATGGTTTGAGTCAAAGTTGGCAACTGGTTCATGCCTGATTTATCCCTTTTGGCGACTATAGGTATGCTTGTGACATTATGTTGATTTCTATGGCCCCAGGATTCTCGCTACAACCATGCATCTCCTACCTCAATTGAGGTGTCCAGCATTTACGGCACTGGTAGCTGGAATTCGTGGCGTGGATGTTAGGCCGGTCATCAGGCTTTCAATCAGGATCAGAAGTCTCTGGTTTACCTTTTGGTTTAATCATCTGAACATGACTCAGGTCGCTTCACAGCTTGGAGGATTTTTGAAGCTGCGTCTCAGACAACTCCCAATTTACGGGGGGTGCCATTACATTGGTTAAGGATGTTTTCCCCCTGGGATTGGGAAACCCGCAAACCCTAACCCAACCGAAATCCACTCTAAACATCTTAGATCGCAGTACACCTGCCGAAATCCTCGCTAAACCCACCCTACCAACCCACACTCTCTGAGCCCACCCTACACCAATCCAAAAACAACCCTGAACCCACCCTAAACCACCCAACGCACCCTAAACCCACCTTACCCTAGACCTTACTACCAAATATTAGGATCTTAGCCCCAAACCCACCCTAAACCTATGCTAAACCATCCTAACCCCTAAACCTACCCTGCACCTACGCCAAGCTTAGGCAACGATGGCCTTCTTTCTCTGACGATCTCTCTAGTTCTTGGAGTAGGTAACTTCCGAATGCCATAACCCACAGCCTGACAGCTCTCTTTTCAACTTCACCCGCGATAGGATAGTCACTGGACGTTCAGAGTTTAGAGGCAAGCCAGGAGGATGACCACCTATGGATCCAGCGCCGTCTGCGCCCGAGAGACCGACTTTGGCGAAGAAAGCGATCGATCGCTGGAAACCGGCCACAGTGAAGCAATTTTTCCCAACCTGCTTCCCCACGGCTTCATGTCATGAAGGGCGCGCAATTTTCGACCTTGAGCCGCGCCCACATGGTTGGATCCTTCGTCTTTGACTGTGGATAGAAAAGGACAGCAATGCCACACGCCAGCGCAAGTCTGCAGATCTCTGCCTTTAGACCCCTGAAAGACATCTCCGTTTCAATGCCTGGTGGGGCCAAAATCTCATGGTGTCCAAGCCAGGGCATGACCTGCGCAGACTTCGCCGGGGCTCAAGGGTAGTTCGTGTTGGGGTCTGGCGCCTGGGGGTCTGGAAGTAAATGGTTGCTTTCGCGGGGCCCGCGTCGGCGACCGTCGGATCAATCTTGCGGGGGAGCTTCAACAAAACATGCAAAACTTTTTTGTCGCCGCAGGAGAAAGAGCCGACGCGCAAGCGGAAGCTCACGGACGAGGAGAAGGCGGCTCGCAGTGAAGCGCGTGAAGCCGTCAAAGCCGCAAAGTCGGCTTGGCGGAGAAGGGGCACTGGCGGGCGGCCAAGGCCAACAAGCTGCCAACCCGGGGCCTTGCTGCGCGCGGGGCACAAAGACGGCCCTTGTCCAGGGTCGCGTGGGAGGTGGAAGGCCTCGAGGTCACCGAGGTGCTGACTCCAGCTCTTGGGTTGTGTCAGGTCGAGATCTTGCGGGGCTTTCAAGTCTGCGAGTGAGATGACTGTGAGAGACACCCCTGCGAGGTCGACCCCTGAAGCTTCTTCTCCTTGAGCCTTGCGAGCGCCGCAGCGTCTGGCGTCTGGTTCCGCGAGCCGTGATGAGAGCCACTCTGTCGAGGCAGCCCGCCACCTGCTACTACTGGCACGACGGCGAGTGGCGCAGGGAGTCGGGTGGGCGGCTGTGGAAGCAGGCGTCGGCGCGACACTTCCTTTTTTGAAACAAGCCAACCTTCGTCCGTTGAAGCAATCTGAACCACCCACAATCCATCCCAACCCTGCCTTACACCCACACTACACCCACCCTAAACGCACCCTAAACCACCCTGATGAGTGCAACTTGAGCCCACGTCAGAGCCACCATGAACCCACTCTAAACACCCCAAACCACCTAAACCCACTCCTGACAACTCTAAAAATGGACAAAGAAAAATCTCACAAACGTTGGAAAAATGAAGCAGCACATTTCAACAACACATTTCAAGAGGTTCACCGCGGCCTGCGCGAAACCTCTCCGTTGCCACCTGGGCCGGGGGCTGAGTTGCAACATCATCTGGTGACGGTGGTGTAGTTCCTTTTCTTTCGGAATCGGAGCTCCAAGTTTTGTTGGTTGGCTTCATTTAAAGCCACCAGCGCAGGCGAGCTGCCCTCCCAAAAACGACACAGGGTGTGTGTGTGTGTGATCTGTTTTGATGCAATTCAAGGAACCTTGAAAGTATAATTAACTCCCTCTCCAATCAAGACTGCGTTTACTTTCCCCTCAAACTTCCCTGGCTAATGGGGAAATCACCCACTTTCTTGGGGGGCACTAATCCAGTTTGTGAGGGTAGCTTGAGGGTCCAAGTCCGATCACACACTGTGATTTGCTTACCATCGGATCTTTCCAACTGTTCAAGTTTTCCCGTCAGGAGCAGCTTTACGCCACGGCCAAAGCCCAGGTGGAGTTTGTGGGAGAAGTCCCAACTACGAATCGATGCCCCCACCCTTTCCATTTTTTACATTGTATCAAGTAGCTTCTTTCCGAGTCTTCACTTGAACAACTTCTGATTCATGGAGGACCACACTAATCCGAGGAGGCCCCTGATGCAAATCTATATCAGCCCCATAAGCGAGAGCTGCCCCTGATGAACATGATCCTGCGGAGTAATCTGGCTGAACCTTACCCTCTGACAGCGGCAGAACCGTTCACACCGCAATCATGCCATGGTCATAGCACCCACATATTGGAGCTCAGTGGGCATGGTCATGAAGCCTTTAGTAGGGCGTCTGGATTATTCTTGTAAAATTACGTAGCCGTGTGTCACAACAAGAGGCCAAACCTGGTAAGCACAGCCACTTGAAGGGGAACATGATGTTCAACTGATTGAACCATGGTGTTTTAAACATGTTCAAACGACAGGTTGGTCATTGCTTGGTGCTGAAGCACGTCGAACTTTTGCAGGAAGCCAGTTGGTTTTCTACCAACAGCTGGACTTTCATTTTGTGTTCCTTGGGTGTTTCGTAGCAGAAATGCGCCAATCGCGTGTTGTGTAAGTAACAATGGAAGGCGCAGGCACATTTTACTTCTGGCTCTCCTTCGGTCCGCGCAATTGACGCAACGCCAGGACATTGCATTGAATAGAGCGTGATGTGTTCTCTCGTTACTCCCCTGCAACCTAGCACGAAACCAAAAGCAGGGGTTCGTCAAAGGGAGCCTTCTCCAAACATTTTCCCCAAGGTTTCGTGCGAGTTAGTTTGCACGATGGTGGCGACAACAGAAGGAACAACCCCACAAAACCCAGTGGCAAGCAATAGGGGCGTTTCTCAAAATACGGGGGCCACTTGTGGTTTCTTTTACACACCAGACGGAATAGGGAAGTTTCTGAAAATGGTGGACCCCCTGTTGGTAGTTGGAGAGAAGCCAACAGGAGACCAACTGTGTTGGGCACCAAACCAAACAGCACCTTTGTGGGCGTGTCCTCTTCTGAGGATACCTTATTTGTGGCTTTCAAGGGAATCCAAGAGGAAAATCTATGTGGGGCTCCAAATCCTAACAGAACCATACCCACATAATCCTCGATGGTGGTAATTCATCCCGTAGCCTCCAGATCCCCAAGTCGGAAGAGAGCCACACGCTCATTCTGTTCTGATCATATTGACCTAGTGTGGTTTGACCTGGTTTCCTTGGTGGTGCGATACGTAGGGAATGAAGGAATGAACTTGGGGATCAGTTGGATGTTTTTTTGCGGGGTCATTCCATTTCTCACTCCCTGCCTATCGCACCGGCAAGTTCTGGGGTTGGGATTAGGTACCTGGAGTCTGCATGACCCTTAAACAAAAAATGGTGTCACTACCCAAAATCATGGGGTCATGGACCCATGTTTAAAGGGTCAGAAGGACACTCCAGGTGGGCAGGTCACCCATGTCCGTCACTGGACCGGGCGAATCGGACGTTGAGGCAGGACAGCGCGCCCTGGCCTGGCGGACCTGTGACGAGTGCGCCAGGCGCTGAGAAAGGCGATGGGAGCCGATGCGAGCGGCGGGGGGCGAGTTGCGAACAGCCAGACGGATGGCCGACCGTTTTGATGGTTTCGCACTTGGTGTCCAATACAAGCGTCATTCTTGGTTGTTCCATCGTGTTCAATCAGAAAAGGGAACCCTGGAAACCACAGACTGATCCAACCATGCCAAGAGTGATTTCTGTTTGCTGGTTGAGAGAGAAAATGGCCAAAGGGCCAGGAACAAGGCCGTCCAGTTGTTTACTGCGGTCGCCGGTTGCGATGGGTTCACGTGTTTTCGGGAAGTCGGAACCCCAGGTTCCCTTTCCCGGTGCCAAAGAGTCCATCAGTCTTAGCCAGCCACATTTGCAAGGTGCAGGCCGCTTTGATGTCTTGCCCTTTCTTGCGAGATTACCTGCAAGGCCGTGAACATTTTACCAGGCCTTATTTGTACACCAGGCTTGCCAAACCTTATTCCCGCATGGCTGGCACCTGGAACCACTCGATCTAGGGCCTGAATGAGGGGCCCGCCCTGGGCCGGGCCGGAGCAACTCCGCGCACACAAGAGGTGCACTTTTTGGCAACACTATTTTGAGTCGCAAAACACAATTTGGACTTTGGTGGTCGATCGACTCCCAAAGTGAGTTTTCAAAATGACGCGGTCAGGTCAACGTTTTGGTAACATTGACGAAATGTTATACGTTTGTCCGTGTCTATACAGGTACAATCCGTGTCTAGAAAAGTACAAAGGTTTAGACGGTTTAGAGCCTAGGTTTGCTCGGTTGTCAGTGGCACCCTTTTTCATCATTTGTTTTAGTGACTGCCCCAAAAAAGGGTTCCCCAAAAAGGGTTCCCTTTTAGCTGTCTGGCCCAAACCCATTCAGCTCAGGGAGTGGCGCACCCAGGGCCCTGCTAGGCTGCTCCCAGCCGGTTGGGCGTCAACAAAGCCGGGTACTCATCCCTGGCAGCCCCGTCTGTGCCTTGCGCAGCCCCCTTGGCTGTGGTCCGTTGGTCTTGCGTTGCTTGGCGTTGGTTGCCTTCCCTGTGGCCTCCTTGTTTGCCATGCTGTCGCGTGACCCCTCTGTCCTGCGGGTTCTGGGGTCTTTGCCTTCTGAGGCCCTCGGTGCCCTGGATGCTCTTCTCTCTGAGTGTCCTTTCTTCCAGGACACTGACCCTTTGGCATGGAGGGGTGCTGCCAATGTGCACTTTCGGGTCGAAGCCATGACTGCCCCGTCTCTCTGGCGTTGTGCTCTGTTCTCAACGGGGCTCCCACCCGGCCTCACACCGGGCCCAGGTTGGAGCCTTCTTCAGGCACTGCCCCTGTCGGGGCGGTGCTCTTCTCAGCAGTGGTGCAGCGGGCCCTGGCCCTTGCGTGTGGTGCTGCCTGTGGGGAGCCTGTTCTCCGTGTCACAGCCCGACCGGGCTCTTTTACCGGTGGTGGGGCGGTAAGCCCCACTCACCAGCGCGGCCGACCGAGGATGCGCCACGAGCCAAAAGGGTTCCCTTTTTCTTCTGGAGGGTCACTGAACACCTGAGTTTGGGGTCGACTGTTGACCAACATGACACACATGTTGCGCATGAGCGCCTATGTTTGGCAACTCCCCCATGTAAGGCTGAGCGGGCAACTTGTACCGACTCACACCTTGGGCGTTGGTTTGCAATCGACCGATTTCAGCGGACCTATCATCTAGGTAAAAACCTGACTTCGGTGCATTTCTTTGTTTCACACTATACCCGGAGTCTCCTTCTGACCCTTAAAAAGTGGTTGGTCATTTTCCAAAACAAAGGGCTCATGCACCCATGGGGTGTTGAGGGTCAGAGGGGGAACCACCACAGAATTCATCTTCCAAATTGCTAGTGCTTAAGCTAATCATGCCTTGAGGGACAGCCTGTTCACCTCGAGTCTAGCTTCTTAAAGGGCCAGGTTTACTGCCTTCTCTTTTCGGTTCAGTTGCCCTAAGCCCAACACAATGGGCTCATGGACCCATGTTTCAAGGGTCTCAGTTGTTCAGTGGCACCCTTTTTCCCCTTTTTTTCTGGTGGCTGCTCCACTAAACACGGGTCTTTTCCAAAAAGGGGGTCCCTTTTTTTTCCAGGGTCACTGACCAACTGCGGGGTGGATTTTTGTTTTTTTCAGTGTCAGAGGGGGGGAATTTCGGGTATTGGCCGAGGACCACGACGCCTGGCGGGGCGGCCGGAACTGCGTGCGCCACCAGCCCGGGCCTCAAGCCTCAAGCGCGCTGGGCCGTGGGCGGGGTTCCAGCACAGCCCCAGCGGCTTGTTGGAGACCTTGTTGGGGCATTTTAGTTGGCGACGACACCTTAAGGGCATTTTGGCGACAAAGCCGTTGGACATACCAAGAGGATGTTTTGGTTGGGGACGAAGCAGTTGGGGGGTGCCGGTTTAGCACCAGTTCGGGCCTCTTTCTTTTCTGTTTGCCTGTTTCCCCCATTTTTTGCTGGGTCAACGACTGCAAGAAAAGGGGGCTTTGTTGGGGGGTCCGAGTTTTTCAGTTGTTTTGGGTCCACGTCTCATTTTCGGTCTGTGAATTGCACTAATTTACCCAGGACATCAGGTGGTAGGTTGCTACTTGCGATATCCACCGGAAATTCCGCACGGGCATGGGCCATGGGAATCCCAATTTGGTATCACAAGATATCTAGGTTTATTTGTCCGCAGCTATGTTCCAGGCCTGTTGCTATGAGCAACCCAAGAAGATACATTGGATGGTCTGTGGCATGCACATTGGGCCTGCTTGAACAGGTTCAGGTCGCGGTTGGGAAAACCACCAGTCACCAGCCCCTGATCCACCTTTCGAGGGAAACCAAAAGCCGGTCTCCCCCCGTGCGAATTCGCATGGAAACCCCAAGAAACAGTGTCTAGTAGAGCAGTCGCCCTTGCTGGGAAACCACGGCCTAAGCAGTGGTTTGAACTCTTTCTGGGCCTTTTAGTTTCTGGGCCCTAGACAAGCTGCTCAGGCTGGTTGGACATGTTGGTTCGCCCTAAAACGTTGAGGCTAGGGGCACAGGCACCTCACCGACCCGAGGAAGCAGTGGCTTTGCCGCCTCTGCTTCGAGCACATGCTCTCTGGCGCGGGGCGCTCAAATTGATGCAGCTCGGGAGCTCCTGAGTCCTGCATTCCCAGAGGCCGCTTCTGGGGGGTGAAAAGTGGTCCAAGTTATTATCAGAGGGTACTTGGACCCTCTGGGATTTTGAGCACGGGAGAAACTCGGGGTGTGGGTAACAAACCAACCCCAGGGTTTGGAGCCCATATGGGTCAGAATTAGATCACCGGGAGACCGCAGCTTTGAGTCCATGTTTCCATGCAGGGTTCCATTTTGGGTGCCATGAGGACCGGATGCCTTCCTTTACTCTGAATCTGTCCAGTGGGAGTTTGCTACAGGCCCCGCCGCAACTGCGATTGCATGCGCGGGAAAGAGGCCCCAGGCAGGCGGGGGTGGCAGCGCGTGGATGCCGCGGATCTGGGGGCAATAGGTTCCGATGTGTGCTTTGTTTGCCGCAAATTGTAGTTTTGTAGGGGTTCATTCCTTTTCCATTGTGTTCAACCATCGTTCTTTCCAAACTCCGGCCGTTTTCCCTGGGTTTCCGGACGTTTTCTAGAAAGATTCAAATCCCTGGAAAGAATGGGGAAGGTACCCCAAGAAGTTTTCGTTTTGGGTTCCCTTTAAAACCTACCAAAAAAAGGTATGCTAAAAAAGGATTGGTTCCGTGAAACTAGATGTTTCGAGGACGGATAACGATCCTTCAGAAGTCAGACGCCCTTCCAAACCGCGGAGGTCCAGTTGCAAGTGAGGTGCAGTTCTCATGTCACTTTCGGACACTTTCCGTCCTGCTGAATCCTTAAAGTGGCACCTGAAACATCCATCGTTGTGTGTGGATTCCCCAGCATCCGGAGCAGGGGGCTCTTCTTGCCACCTTCGGTGGAAAAAGTGATTGACCCCCTTGTAGTGAAGCCTTCCTTGTTGAGGGGGCCGCCAAGTTTCTCACAAAAGGTGGCAACAAAATGACCCCCTGAAACCGGGGCCCCTGAAACCGGCAGGGGCCCATGTGAGTTTTTTAGCGAGGGCAGCCGCTCGACTGGAGGCGGCCGGGGCAGAGAGTCGTCGAAGCGCGCGCGGCGGCGGAGGCAGAGGCGGAGGCGCGCGGGGGTTGACTTGAAACCAGCTGCGCAATTCGAGGGGAAGCCACATACCCAGAACATATTCTTCAAATACTTCCCAAATGCCCACCAAACACTCACCAGGGAAGTTTGCCAAAATCAGCTTGAGCATCCTTTAGATTTCCTGCAGCTATCTCCTTGAGGCTGACCTCCCGGGTGCCTTGCTCTCGCTTGTTGGCTTAGAGCACTCCACTCCTCAGACTTGGGCCCTGAGGTTTCCTCGTGTTCCAGTTTCACTTAGGGCTTCGTGCTCGTGCTTCGCTCGGCAAGGCCGGCGCACTGCAGAGCTTCCCGCTGAACACACTGACAGGAACCCATGCAATCCTAGGTCCCCCAGTAATGCCCTTTTACCAACTTTTTCCAGGGGAGGGTTCCCCTACTAAAATAGACTACAGAAAAAAGGGCACCCTGTTTCCAAGCTCTCTACTGGAGGACCTAGTATACTTCCATTTTGTTCAAGAACCTGTTTTTCTTATTTTTCCCTGCTGGTTTTGCAAGGAATCTATCACTAGTGGACGTAGGTCTTTTTTTTTCCTGCGGACCTGAGCAAATACGGTAGGTATTGGCAAAGAAATGACATGTATTCCACCCAAGTTTCAAGGGGGGGGGTTCAGCTAGGTTACATACCATACAAGCCTGTAAGCCAGTACGCGTTGCTTATATAAGTGGGACACAACCTTCATATGGGGGCTTCCTTTTGTTTTTTCCGGACCCCCCCCCCCCCCAAGGAAAAAGGAGAGACTAAAAACAACGACACACACAAAGGAAAACCCACAAAACCCACAAACACAACAATGACTGGTTTTCCCCCACAAAGGGGTAGCCTCATACCTCCCACACCTCTACCTGAAAACCTTTTCTCCCCTTCGAGGCGAATCCTGGGCTTCCGGTGTGGCCGAGCACTCAGCGAGGAGAGCACGCCACACCCAGAGGGTTTCTTCATTGACGCGAGGGGCGTTTTCCAAAGTGTCCAAGGTGTTTGTATTCCCCGGGCAAGCCAATCATGTTTTTTTCTTCTTCTTTTTTCTTTTTCTTTTTTTCTCCGATTTCCCAGCCCACTTCAAAAAGGCGAGCAAAGGTATAGCAATTTGGCCGCCATCCAAAACTACCTAGCCACGTATTATGGCATCTTGCAGGGACGAACCATGTATCTAACAACTCTTCAACTTTTTGGTTTCGACCCTGCACCTGATCGCTTTGCGGCTTCTCACGAGCCATCCAGGCGGTGCTACTGAGGGAGCTCTACTTGTTCAAAGCGAGAGTGGGTCCTTTGGGATTGGTTTTGATCGGAACCCATCAGCAGGTGAAAAACGCCTACCTGGAGTCTCCATGACCCTTCAAAGATGGGTTCATGACCCCGTTATTTGGGTAATGACCAACCATTTTGAAAGGGTCAGAAGGAGACTCCAGGTAGCATGGACACCTTTAGACGCGTGGATTTGTTGACTCATGTCTGCCGACTCGCCGGCGTTTGCAGAGGATGGATGACCTGTTGATTGGTGACGGTTTTATTTATATACTGCCCACGGTTTGCAAGCTGCTTCTGGTGAGCAGGCAACCAGTACGCGATGAGATGGTTTTGAGAGCCACTCAAAGGACACCAATCATTCGAAGGGGCGCCCCCACCTTAGCAATATAGCAATAAACCATATGTGTCCATGTTTCCTGCAAACAGTGGTCTTTCCTTTCGGGGAGAAAAAACAAAATCCCCCAGACCCAGTCGGTCGCCTTCAGCCTGCTCCCTCCATCCAAACGAGGCTTCCCCGCAAAAGATTGGACAGGCAATACCCTCCCTCACATGGAAGCTCCCAGGACCCTTTCGGAAGACTTGAGTCCATTTACATTGGCCTTCTGGGAGCTTCCATGATAGTCTGAGGGAGTGGATGGTTGGTTATCTCCCGTTACCCTCCAATCATGGAAGCTGACGATTGGAGGGGTCTGGAAGACTACCCATTCCGGAGAGACCCCCTGTCCACTTCCATCAGTGTTGGAAAGAGGGTAGCTCGGGAAGTATGAGAAGGGGGGAGCTACGCGGATTGTCCATGCCTCAGTCTCGTGCAATCTCCTTGTGCTCGGAGCGCTTGAGGTTGGACGGCCGAGTTTCAGTCTTTCGCCTCAGGAAAGCAAGCCCAAGGGCTGGCCAGAAAGCAAGGGTGATTCTCAAAACATGCGCCCTCTCCCCCCCCCCCCGCGCCAAGAAAAACAAACATACACGCTTCCCTTCCCTTCCAACCATCCAGTTTGAGCAACCTCCACTTGTGCTCACACGCTGAACCTCGTCGTGGGACACGCGCTGAGACGTGATCGCAGCCATGGCCCGTCCAAGAGTTGGGATTTGGCCCGGAGCCAAAAGTGGCTCCGGTGACCCTTTGAGCCCCCCAACACAGACCCCAAACGCAGCTTTCAAAGCCACGACCCGCAAAAGCGGCTCCCGGTTTTTTGACAAAGGCTTCCCTTTCAACCAACCTTTGGAAGGCAAAGAATGGCAAAGGTATCACTTCAAGCCAAGCTTTAGAAGGGTTTGTCCGCAAAGTAATGGTGCATCCTTCTTTTTGGAAAACCTGCAGACACCCAGTGAAACGCCTGGTTTTGGCAAAGAATGATGGTTGAAAAGAATGGAAAAGGAATCAACCCCTAGAATATTGCCCTTGTCTAAAAGAACCTTGCAAGCATGCGGGTCAAGTCTGGTGGGCAGGGGTTCCCGGTTTTCACCTTCAAAGTCCCAAGCCGACGGTCAAGCCCAGGCCGCACACCTTCCGGCCGCTCCGCAGGCTCTGTAAAAAGTGAAAACAGCGGAAAAAAACCACCCCCGCCATGGACACCTTTTCTGGGGGAGGGTTTCCTTTGACGCTACCACCTGGGGCAAGCCGATTCTTTTGCCCAAGTTACTGGGGACCCGGGTCTGAGGACCCGGGTGCCGATTGTGCGTTTTTGGGTTCGTGGAAATCCACTCGGGGCTCGGGTTTGTTGGTTGTAAATGAACAGTTATCCTCCGAGCCAATGGTTTTGCTCAGGTCCCTACAAAAAAGGAAAGCCGTCCTGCCGGCTTTGCAAGCAAAGTGGAGAAGGTTTCGACACCCTGCAGCTTCAGATTCATAAAATCAAAAGAAAGATCATTCCCCAAGTAGGGAACTCCTCACACGCCGACGTGGGTCCGATGTTTATTTGTAGGGGTACGTTAGGTAGTGCTCAATCTCAGGGAAACCAACTAGCAGCGACACAGGGGGCACCAGGGATACGAAGGATTCGCTCTAAATACAACCTGATGAAGTTTCATATGGGAAATGGCGCCAGGGGAATCCCCCCATATCCCCGCTCCCTCCGTATCCCCGTTTGTTTGTTTGTCCAACAATCAATGCTAATCCATGTCAGTTCTGTGGGAATGCTTCAACTGCGACAAAGTAGCAAAAGGAATTTGAATCATGGGTTTATTTGAGCATCACAGGGTTCATGTTTGTGTCTCTTCCATTGCGCACTTGCCGACAACCAGGGGCTGACTTCGACCATGGCGCTTGGGGTATGAGCCATCGGAAATGAAAGCACTGCTTTCAACGCTGCGAAACATTTTCATGCCCGATGTTTCTGATATGTTTGACTCGGCTGTGGACTGCGGATGGCAGAGTCGATTGGTTATTGATTCGACTGGTGAGCAGATCGAACAAGGTCCAGGGCATAGTGTGTTTTAAGCAAGCGATCCATGAAGTTTCAGTTTCCGTGACTGTTAGCGTGTTTGGATGCTGGGCGGTTTCTGCTGTTAGACTCACGATGCGGTGCGTGGTCAGTTTCACAGCGTTCAAACATATCTATATTCCTGCTGCTTCCATTGCTCGCTTGACAACTTTATCGACTGGATCGAGGATCCGCACGCTATGGTTGTGGAACCCAGAGAACGTGAAAAAAAACGTGCATGCGGCCGCAGGTGAGCCTTCCAATGCAGCCAATGCAGATGCAGGCGAACAGCTGATCTCGTTTTCTCACATCCGACAGACCGACCTGGTACGAGGTTCGGAGGTTTTCGGGGGTACCTGTTTGATTCGGTTGCAAGCGGAGCCTAGGCTTTCCAATCCAAACCCATCAGAGCCAGATGGGGGAAATGCTTCCAATTCCGCGTGCCTGGAAGATCTGCGATTGGAAGATTGGGGGGGGGGTTGTGATTGTGAACCCGATTTTCAAAGGGCAACACGACAGCCGTGGCATTTTTGAGGGTGCCCATGGTACGCTTGTTTCGTCGGCTTTAAAGACAAACCAAAAGGACACTCAGTTGTTCAGTGGCACCCGTTTTCCCTTTTTTTCGGTGGCTGCCCCACTAAAAATGGTCTTCCCCAAAAAGGGTTCCCTATTTTGTCCAGGGTCACTGAGCAACGGACAACTTGCCCATCTTGGGGTCCTCCTAAAAACGACACTCGCATTGGGAAGCTTCCAAGAAACGGCCTCTGGGTCCCTACAGGATGTGCTTTACCTTCAGCACGCAGATTGAGAGGTGTTTGGAGGAACGTGATCCTGGGAGTCCTTGTCAGGTTCCATCTTCATTTTTTAAGATGGTGCCCATTCCCCACACTACCTCCAAGGGAAGCATCAATCCGCTCTGCAAAGGGTACACGCCTTGATTTCCCTTTAAAGGTAGTGGTTTTGGGTGGGTGGAAACCACCTGAGATTGAGTACAGAAGGTAAGCGATCTGGGTGGATCTGACGCATGTTTTGTCATTTTGTGGGCTAAAAAAGATGGGGCAGTTCCAAGGGTCGTATCCGGGTATCCCAGGCCGTGTTTCTATCTTCATCTTTGAACAAATTCCCTTTCAGGTGGTTTCTGAAGGGACTGCCAATCCATTTTTGGCAATTCCCATTGAAGACAAATCCATATTCTGGGGGGCCCCCAAAACCATGATAAAAGAAAGTTGTTGAACACGCAAACCAGGCTTTTCACTTGTTTTTTTTTCATGGTTTCGGGGGCCCATGGTTCAACCACTTGATAATCCTCTAGAGAAGATGTGATAATTTAGCAGAAACCCGTTTGAGCATGTGGTGTGGCTTTTCAGCTCGCTAGTGACATTGAGAATACTCTTGACGTGGTTTCATAATATTGAAAATCATCGTGGGTCCCATTGTCATGATAGTGTTTGTTTTTGTTTTTTCTCGTTTTGAATGCTAACACGTTTATTGTCGAAGCTTTCACCATCAGCCTGTTTGTCAAACCCTTTTCCGTATCCCTAGTGGGCACCACCCATGGCAAGTGCGGCATATATCAGCCTGTTGGAGTCCGGTCTGTGGGGAAATTGTCGTTGTTAGCTGGTAGGTTTGGGTTCCTCACAAAGGGGTACACCCTCATTGACACTTAAACGGAGCAAAAATGAGCAGAGATTTGTTGATCTTGTATTTTGATCGCCTCATTTGGCGATTGGAAACGGTTGAGGTTTCCATGCAGCCGGCCAGTTAAACCCATCCTAACCCAGAGGGTCCAAGTAGATTTCAATAGCCATCCTCATGAGGTACTTGGACCCTCTGGGTAAGGGGTGTCACCCAGGAAAGTGAGTCAAATTCCCACGAGAAAAACCACCCCAAATCGTGCCGCCGGAGGAGCAGCTTTGCATGATGCAGCAGGATTGCACATGGGAGAGGGAGAGGTGTTGGCTGCGTTTCGTCTGGGCTTCGGAAACAGGGCCCTACTTAGCCTTTTTCTGGTTAAAATCTGTCGTTTTTCTGTTTTGTTTTTCTGTTTTCTGGGCTTTTCTTTGTTCTTCTCGTTTTTGTTTGTTTTCTGTTTTCTGGGTTTATGATGGTCTATGACCCAGCTTGTGAAGCCAAGGCTGTCAGGTCCAGCAAGTTGTTTGTGTTGCATACCCAGGTCCCAAATGGAACCCCATATGTACTGTTAACCCCGGATTAATAAACCCCTGGTTGATTAATAGAGGGGTGTCCCCTTTTAGTGGGGATTCAGACCACTTTTGGAGGGAACACCCCCCTAATAGTGGGACGGGTTTATTAATCCTGGGTCAACATTACGGCTTTGGGTTTAGGGAATTCGCCCACAGGTTCCGAAGAAGTCCGCAAAATATGAGGTGCCAAGGCAATCGGTGTCTGGAGCTTTGCCTCAATCTGCCCATGCGTGTGGCCGTGGGTCGAAATCAATGCTACCATTTTGGGGTAGGTGAATTCAGCACCCATTTTAGATTGCCCATTTTAGTAGTTGGATTGGTTGATGTTCACTGGGGGCTAACCGATTTTTGGGTTTTGAGCCATGGCCATGTATCTTGAAGACAAGTCATCCGCTCCGCCACGTTCGCTTTGGAAGCGGCAAGCCCCCGGATTTTTGGTGTTCGCCTGAGGGAAGTTCTGGTTTCCTGTTGGGTTCCCTGTTTCACAGAGGCGCCAAAAGGGCTGCTCTCAAGAACGGAGGAAACCCGTTCCAAAAGAATCGCCGGCCGGAGGCTTTGGGCCAGGTCGTGGGTAACCCTTCCATACGATTGAAGGTGGATGCTATTGGAGTTTGGAGGGCTTCTGGGCCAGGTCGCAGTGGCGCAAACGGGGTGACACGTTTTATATGCAAGCTTTTACCTGGAGTCTCCATGACCCTTAAAAAAAGGAGTCATTACCCAAAATAAGGGGGTCATGAACCCATTTTTGAAGGGTCATGGAGACTCCAGGTAGGTGCTAGGTTGCCGGCATTCATGCAAGGCATGCACATTTCCTTTACCATCATTTGGGGTCTATATGGTTGGATGAAGGGCCCACTGGCAACAGCTCTTTGAGTGCTTCCAGATGTTTATGTTGGGGAAAGGGGAAGCTGACACACCTCGCAAACTATCAGGAAGTGGATGAAAGAGGAGGGTGAGGGGGTCGTACTGCTGCCATTAGGGAGGGCGTGCTGGGCAATACCACCACTAGAGGTGCGTGAAATCCACCGCTTGGCTTGGATGTTCAATGATTTTCAAGCTGGTAACCTGCCTGGAGCACCCAGGGTTCCAATACCACTGGCGACTTGTTGGATGGCAATGGCATATGGATTTTGGAGCCTTCAATTTGACAAGTCCCCTAAACCCAACCAAACCACCCCTCTTCCCTCCCCCCTCCAAAAAAAAGGAAAAGCGAAGAAGCACAAAAGATTAAAAACAAATAATGCACTTTAAACTAGTACCAAAGAGCAAAACAACCGCCTCGGCACGGTTTTTTTTCCCCGGCGCCCAAAAAGCAAGTCGTCCCCCGAGCTCGCAAGTCCTTTCGGCGAGAGGTGCTGGCGCAGCTGGAGGGAGGCTACAGGCGCCCTGGAACGACGCTGTCCGTTTCTTGCGACCGGACAGCGAAATCGGTAGGGAACTAGTTCCCCCAGTAGTGCCCTTTTACCAACTTTTTTGGGGGAGGGTTCCCCTACTAAAATAGACTACAGAAAAAAATATAATCGGGTACCCTAGGGAAACGCAGGGGTCGGGTACTCCTGATTTCAAAACGGGGTTTCAGTTCCCAATGGGTAGCACTTGTTCAAACCTTGTCCAAACAAAAAGACGGGAACCAAGATGAGGTTGTTCAGTGGCTTAAACTACCTCGCTCAGCAGGGAATGAGAAATGGAATGACCCTTATACACCATCCATCCTATAGTTTTGCTGGATTCAGGGACCATGGGCTTGTTCCAAATCACATTCCCTATCACACCAATCGCAAGGGCCCTCATCCATCCTATCGTTTCCGTCAAGCGGAGCCCTGAGGAATGGAATGATCCCTCTAAAACCCATCCCCCCTATGGCTTCCTTGAAAGTTTGTTTGGCACCTTTGGGTTCTTTTTGCCAGGGGAGATGATCAATCATGAGTTTGTCTCAAAACGAGACATGCAATTCCCCTGTTTTGGCACGACTGTTTTGCGCCGCCGCGTGGCCGGCAACAACTAGCCTGTCAGCCCTAGTCGTTGAGAGATTTGCAGCCATGTAGACCGTGTCCACATACTCGCGTGTGTGGCCGTGCCTTGCGGCGCGTGGTATCCGAACGTCACGATCCCCGGATTTGCGCCGCCTGTCCTCGCCAGTCAGGGCAACGTAACCAACCCCTGACCCACCCCAGACCTGAGCCCGGCAGCCGGAACCTCGGCTCGGACTTCAGGCCAGCGTGCCCGGCGTCGCTGTACAAGGCGCCCTGGGATACAGAAAGAGGTGCCTAACACGGATGGGCTTTTTGGTCTCCATGCTAATCTGGGCATCAAGCTGGACAACTACAGGGAATGGGATGATGATCTGAGCCGATCCATTTGCTGACGTGCTCGAAAACGGCTACCCTTGAGCAAAGGTTCCGCGTCACACCGTGCAGATATTGTCGCACTGTCAACAAAAACGCAGACGTGCCCTGAAGACTTCTAAATTCCACCAGTGAACTGATCACATGGGGTACTATTTGCAGCCCTTTGGGCTGATGTTTCCTCTTGTGCCTGGAAAATTGTTTTCCTCTTGTGGGCACCCCGTTTCATCTTTTTTCTCCACAGGTGCATCCGATGGGCCCGGGATCTTCGGAGACCAAAGTGCTCGGAACCTCAGTCGTTTTACGTGAAGATGGACCGCTCTGGTGAAAGTCGCCCCTAAAGCCCGTGTTGCTATTTGGCTGTGGGTCAAAACCAATGGTACCATTTTGGGATAGGTGAATTCACCACCCGTTTTAGTCTATTCTAGTGGGGATTGGGATGTTCACTAGGGGTACGGGGTTTTCACCCATGGCCATTTGTCTTAATGTAAGTTATTTCCCTTTGTAGGTAAAAGGAATCTGGCGATGGATGCATATCCCTGCCCGGCAGGTTGGGGGTGGTAGATATCCCACCACCGCAACCAGAGCGCAACCAGAGCCTGTGACGGACAAACTGCTGTGACAGAGCCTGTGACGCAGAGAGAGAGAGAGAGAGAGAGAGAGAGAGAGAGAGAGAGAGAGAGGGAGGGAGGGAGGGAGGGAGGGAGGGAGAGCGAGAGAGAGCGAGAGAGAGCGGATGTCTGCGCGGCAGACCATGCCGGCCCCTTTTGCTAAATTGAGCAGGACAATTTTAGCATGTGCTGTAGCTCGCAGGCATGCTGTATCTGCTGCAGCCAAATCGGCTCGCTGGCACACGCGCAAGCAGGTTCAGTTGATGCTTGTTGTTGTTTTTTCCGAAACAGAGTGTTCCAGCTGACATCCCGCCGAGAGGCTGTGTTCTGCTGCGTGTTCAGCGACAGAGATGCTGGCTAGGTTCCAGGCAGTTGTTGGTTGGCTTGCTCCCCGCACGCGCAGTGCTGGAGTTTGTTACATTGTTTGGGTCAAGGGCGCGCGAAAGTTTCTGACCACTGAGCCATGCAAGAAGCTGGTTGCCAAGTTGGAGGAGGCCTGAGAAAGTAGCATTACTTCTGGTCCTTGGAGTGTCGTTTGGGTTTGACCACGGCAGTCCGCGTTGGCCGAATCAATCCGCGCCAACCAGGTCTCCGCTTCGCGGTGGCCATCCGGCACCCGGCGGACATTGCCAGGCTGCTTGCTTGCCAGAAGTTTCCAGGAAATCGCTTTGCGTCAGCGAGGCTGGGTGGAACTGATCAAAAGTTTTGCCAAAGACTTTGTTTTGCATGTGCCGTTTTTGGCCGCAATGAAGACACAGTGGGCGCCCAGAGTGCTGGTGTGACGTGTTTCACCATGCCCCCCACGAAGACAATGAGCTTTGAGCGGCTCACACTCCTGCAGAGGGTGCGGCAGTTGGCTCTGCGATGCCGAGGGCCACAACCACGCTGCCGAGCCAAAGCGGGCACGTGCTCCAGAAGATGCTGCGCACGGGCCGCGTCAAGGACGAGGTGGGCTTCAAGCGCGGGCCAGCTGAGGAAATTGCACGGTGGCTCCTTGTCTCACGTTTCGTTTTCATTCGCTCCTGTCATGTCCCGTCACTGCGTTCTCTGACGCAATAGGTTTATGTTTGTTGTGATCTGGAAGCCTACGTTGGCAAGCTCCAGAGATAAATTCAGCCCGGCCTGGCCTCGTATTTACTCCTTCTCTCGGGCTTACACTCAGGATATTGATGCGATTGCCATGTTCAGTATCGCTTTCAGACGTGGCCGGGCGTATGCTGTCGGCTCTTTCATCTGTCTAAGCGACGGGGACCGCTTCAGGTCCGCGTTGCCTTTCATTTTCATGCGACATCTTGGCATCCGATTGCACCTTTCAATGGTGACTTCCATTGCACCATCTTTGCCTACGTTAAAGGACGCCCTGTCTCGCCCATGTTTTAATATCGGGGGCTCGATGGACGTGGCCTTAGATGCCGACACACTATTGATAACACGCTGGCCCTTGCCCCCTGATGTCCTTTGTCATCTGTCGCTTCCGTTTTAATTGCAGATGCGCGTCTCTGATGCGCCAATCCATTTGGGCAGAATATTTCAGGTGATGCCTGTGTTGTGCCTTTGCCTTTATTTGCAACTTCGTGGGGATGACAGGCGTTGCCATTTCCTATAAATGGCAGGCAGCGGCTATAGTTGGATTGCTGCCTATGAGTGGTACCATGGCGGCTCTGTGCTGCCCTTCTTTGCTGCGGTACATATCTTGCAGTGACGGCGGTGGGGTGCTGCGGTCGCAATCTCCCCTTTCCGTTTGCCATACCACACGCGATACATATTGCTTGTGGTACGGCGAGGGGACTCCGATGTTTTGTGCAGCTGAGCTGCCTGCAGTGCTTGCGGCTTTCGAGGACAGTCCTGGTTTCATTTTCAGTCTTGGCTCCGCAGTCTCTGGCTCAAGCCCGCCTTCTCGGCTCGAAGTTTGGCCTTCATCACGCAGGTGGTGGTTGGCCCCGGTCCGAGCGTGATCCGGGTCAGCACACACTGTTTTCAGCTTGGTGTGGTGCTGGCCGCGTAAAGTGGACCCTGCCAGTCGGTATTGTGTGCCCTCGGCGCATTGCACCGACATGAGCGTTTCGGTGCACGTTGGCGCTGACCCTTCGGCATCTCGGATTCGGTGCATGGGAGGCGATAGTCCTGAGATACAGGTTGACCTTCAGCTTCAGTTGCGGATCAACGTTGTTCAGTTACTTGCCTTCTTGCTCCAGCAGACCGTCCACAAAGAGGAACCGCGCTTACAGCAGGTGCCACAGGCGGAGTGGGCGGTGTTGCCCCCTGTGTGCATCCCCTTGCCGCACTTTGGCCATACACCTGTTCAGCAATATCAAGCTAGGCATGGATGGACGAGGGATGTGCCACGCAACCTTGATGCGGATGGGGTCCCTATAGCTGGCCGATGCTGGACGATACCCATTTGGCATTTCAAGAGACGCCTTTCTCCCCTATCCCGCCGCTGGCCCCCCCGGGGTGTTTTGCAACGCGCCTTCAACTGACGGGAGCAATGGATGCAGCTTTTGAGGCCCGGCACTACAACTATGCCGCTACTCAATCATACCGGTGGGCGCGTGCTTCTGCTATGAGCCGAGCCTTTGAGACGATTGGTCCTTCGCCTCCTTGTTTTGGGGGAGCTCCGGGCGAGGTCTGTCAGCAGCAGTAGATGCAGAAGGTAAGTTCCCACTATAGGATTGGGAGTGGGCTGACCTTGCATGGTATTGCCGGTGGTTCCTGGCAGATCTACTATATGCTGACGAGACCGATGAAGGGGCGGTGGCAGCAGGTGTGGATTTCGACCCTTGGGGTGATGCGGTGGCCGCTGAGGTGCGTCATCCAGTTCGCCCTTTGTCGGACACAAAGGTCCGTGGAAGGTTTCGGCAAGCGCGGGCCACCAAACGCCAGCGGTTGCAGGCGGAGAAGGACCCGTCCCCTACATCTGTTCCGGTTGACCAGCTCAGGGACTCTCCAGAGCTTTCGGTTTCAGAGATGGTTGAGCTTTGTGAGGGAGGAGATGCAGACCGATCCACAATGCTCGCCGTTGTCAAGCGGTTGGCCCGCTTGTGTGCAGAGCCCGCTGCGCAAGGAGACCCTGTTGCTCCCGAGGCGGTGGAGGACATCCGCTCGCAAGGCTCGCAAGCTTGCAGCCAGAACCCGGATTCTTCCAACTCGCAGCCCGGCACAGGGTCCAGCCCGCAGCCTGGGCCAGGTTCCAGCTTTGCAACCACGCTTCAGCTGTGACACAGGGTTATTGACAGAAAGAGAGACGAGACAGACAGCTTCGACAGAGCCTGTGATTCAGAGCCGTGACAGACCGCTGTGACAGAGCCTGTGATTGAGAAATGTGACAGGCAGCTGCGAAAGAGCCTGTGGCAAACAGCGACGCACAGGTGTCACAGACAGTAATATGGCTGCAAGTCAATTTATAAGGTCCGGAACAGGGTCCGGAACCCACATGCGATCCAGACCTCCGTTCCAGACCTCCGTTCCAGACCTTGCCTAGAAACATGATCCAGACCTTCCGTTCCAGACCTGTTTATATATTTATGTCTAGTTTAGAGTATTTACGGTAAGGTGATTTGGTAATTTATTGACTCCCCCCTTTGTTTTGCCAAATGTTACGCGTTAAGGCTGGTGTTCGAGAGAAGCCTGAGGTGCTAACGATGGGGTTTGCTTGTCGAGCTTTGGTGGTTGGGGCTGCGTGGCTTGTAATCATTGGGACTTGGATGGAATTAAGCAGCGGTCCTGTTGACAGATGTGTTTTTGGAACGGCCTGTGAATGTTAAGGGTCAACCCCGCCGCAATCTGTTCGATGCGATACGGTAACGGTTCGATACCGCTCTCGGTCGTCACATTGTTGAAACGACCATGTTTACATGCAGCTTGCTACCAAGTGCAAGCCACTCGCGTAACCGTTCCAGACCCCGTTCCAGACCCGTTCCAGACGTGTTCCAGACACAGCGGAGCAATTTGCCACCAAGTCCACATGCACAGTAGCTACGCTTCTTACGCGGCCCGCCATGCCGCCGAAGAAGCCTTCACGGCCGCGCGCCCCTGATCGCTTCATCCATCCATCCATCTACCCATTCATTCATTCATCCATCCATCTATCCATCTTACACTAAATGAACGAGCAAAAGGCTAAACTCTCTCGTCATAAAATATGTCTTCGGCGATTTCGCGTTGCTTGTTTTGTATTTTTCCTCAGGAACGATATAGCGAAGCCCCAAAAACGATAACGTCGCATGACGTGCAACTGGCGCTTCGCGCTTCTATTTTGCACTGCGTGAGCCTTTTTTTGCCCCAAGCTGTAAGTTGCCATGACAGCTCCTGTCAATGCTCCTCGGCAATGCATGGTGGGCACATGTGTGCACGAGATGGGCCCACCCAGATGGATCGCTAACGCACCCGCGCACACGCACACGCACAGGCGCCCGCAGGCACCGGCGCACGCTGCGACCTTCGAGCTGGAGCTGCCAAAGTGTAACTTGCGTACTGCGCTGGTACTGAAAGTTGCGACTTGCGACCTGGAAGTTGCAGCCAGCAAGCAAAGCCGCCAATGCTTGGGAGCCAGAAGCATAGTCTAGTCCGCTGATCACATGACTACCGCAAGGTAGAGAAGGCTCTTGTGCGCTTGCTTGGCTCTAGCTTATAGCAAGTTTGTTTTTTTCGTGACACTACACGCGCCCAGAA